TAAAAATGTAGTTAGGTTAGGCTGTTTTGGCTTTACAACACGTCAGCTCTTATTTGGTTATTTAATATCAAATTTTGTTTGAAGCACCCAGTGAGGAACAGTGTCCTGGGTATGATGATAAACTACATCTGGCAGTAAGGCCTCTGACTGAGACGTTTTGAGGAGGATTGAATCACCTCTTAATTGTTGTTGTTTCAGGTCCACCCTGACCTGGGGTTGTAGCACCTGTTAGGGTCTCAGCTATGGAGACATAGTACCCCCACCAAAAAAAACACTATGAAAGTATAAAAATACATTCTTATAGTAAAAATTTCCAGTTATAAAATTTAATAGTGAACAAAAAAAAGAGAAGAACAAAAAAAGAGAAGAATACCCCCCACGAAAAAAAAAAAAAAAATTATCCACGCTACCAAGGAAATTAAATTTTGTCAATTAAATGACCTATAATGAGTTTAATAATAAATTTTCAAATATGAACCAGGAATAAAAGATTTTTGGAAATATCAAAAAGTAAATAAAAAAAAATTAAAAAATTAACAAGGAATTTTCATTGATATCTAACCATATAATGGTTAGCAAGGAGCTGATATGCCATTAAACCTTATAAGGAGTTGATATGCCATTAAAAATAATTGGAAATATCCGAAAGTAAATAAAAAAAATAATAATTACCAAGTACTTTCATTGATCTCTAACTATATAATGATTAGCAATGTTAATCTATTACTTAATCTTAATAATACTTAATCTCATTACTACTGAGTTTGTTCATCACTGGTTTGTTTAATGACATATCAACTCTTTGCTAACCATTATATGGTTAGATATCAATGAAAGTTCCTTGTTTATTATTTTTTTATTTATTTTTTGATATTCCCAATTATTTTTTTGATTCCTGGCTCATATTTGAAAATTTATTATCCTAGATTTGATTACTTATGGTTAGTATTAGCCATTATCAAAGAATTCTGTTTCTTTGTTATGTTATCAGTATTATATTCAAATATTGTCTTTCAGGTGTTCAATTTTAAATATCACATTTTGTGTATTTACTTAGACTTTGTGTCTTCTGCTGACTTATTTTTTTTTTATATTGTTTGTTAGGTCCCAAAGTTTGATGTAATTTTATTGATGCCAAAGTTGCTTGCTTTTTTATGCTCAATACCTCAAGCAATTGTAGTCACTTTTTAAAACATTATGATATAGCACCTTGTAGAATAAGGATATATTTAAGTACTTGTTTTTCCTATGTGTTGGTTGGTTGATATGATTTAAGTGGCATAAATGGCATGCTAAACAGTGTGATATAGATCATTTTACCATTTAAACATTAATTAATAAAAAAAAATTTAAACAAAGAAAAAACATAACACACCTATATTTTAAAAAGAAACTTTAGAAAACCCTCGGAATGTTCTGGAAAATTAGCCTAATTTATAAGTTCTGTCTGATACCAGGAATAACATTGTTGCATTATCTTTTGACACTCAGAGTTGAAAGATAGAGAAAGGAAAGAAAAGGAATAATGAGAGAGTATAAGGTGAGAAGAAAATTATGAAAAGATTAAGAAATAACCATGACATCCGACACGTATGCATACACATGCACACATATAGAAGAAGAAAAAAATCTACCTAATACCAATAAAAAAAGTGCTTAAATTATTTTTTCTTAACTTAATGTAAAAATAACAAAAAATGAGAAAAATCAACAGACATTTGCTGATACCTCCTGACACAAGTGGACCAAAATAATTGCACAAAGGTTCGTCTACAAAATTCTGGAGTAGAGGTGTTGAATATAACAACCAGCTAAGTGAGTGATATATATATATATATATACACACACACACACACGTGTGTGTAGGGTGCGATGGGTAAATTGTCGCCATTTTATAATTTTAATTCTGTGCATGCATGTTGTTTCTGATTTTGTTGACAGTACAGCATACTAGGGTCAGTTAGGCACTGTCTGTGAGAAAAAGGAAAGAGTTGAATGAGTCTAAAGGTGATTATGAACGTACGATCGCTCTGATAAGAACTCCCGAATTTGTTGGTGGGGGCCTCAACACAGAGGCCTACATCAAGTGTGTTGCCCTGGGTCAAGAGGGTGGCTACTGGAAGACCCTATGTCTGGCAATAGGACTCAGCACCATGCCACACAAGCAGGAGAACCCAGTCATGGCTGTCAGACAATTTCTGCAACCACATCACCCCTTACATCTGGCCACCTAACTTCCCAGGCTGCAACCCCCTTGATTGTTATGTGTGGGGCACAGTTGAACGAGAGACCAAAAAAACTCCTTGTAACACCAAAGATGAACTGAAGGAAAGGATTATGGCAGCATTCACCCACTTAAACAAGAAGACCGTTCAGGAGAATTGCAGGAGGTTCTGAAGTCATCTGGAGGCTGTGGTTGAAGTCAATAATGATTTTATTGAATAAATTTACTCTTTAGTATTTCAAGATATTTTTTTGTAACTTTGGTAAAGATATCTGTTAAAATGAGATATAAGTGTTATTTTCATTTTTGTGTAATTTTGACGACAATTTATCCATCGCGCCGTGTATATTTATCTGATTAGTTTATGCTTTCTCTCTGGGAATATCATTGATTCTACTGAATCATCTCATTACTGAGCTTACATAAAGTGCAGCCTTCCCATAAAGATTCAATAATTTCCTATTCCAGCACTGTTTAAAAAAAAGAAAGAAAGAAAGAAAATGGAAATTATATATGGCAGCTATTTGCATTCTACATGTGTCCAGAGAAGCAGACATCTTGAAAGAGGTTATTAAGAGAAGAAGAGTGGTTAACTCCACAAATGTTTACTGTGGGTTTTTAGATATTTTTTAGTCGAAAACTAAAATTTTTTACTAATATTTTTAAAATTAGAACAGGCATTATTTTTTGACTGACTCTTGAAAATGCCTAAATGTAAATATAATGTAAAAGGACTGGATATGGCAGTGAATTGGTATAATCTCCTTCCATGCTTAGCTGAAGTAAAAAAAAAAAAAAAAAAAAAAAAAAAAAAAAAAAACTGCCTCGAAAAAATTTAAAAACCAAAAAAGAACAAAAGTAAAAAAAACCAAAAAGAACAAAAAAAGTAAAAAAAACCAAAAGAACAAAAAGTAAAAAAACCAAAAAAAAAAGTGAAAAAAAAACCAAAAAAAAAAAGTAAAAAAAACAAAAAGAACAAAAAGTAAAAAACCCAAAAAGAACAAAAAAAAAAAAAAAAAAAAGAACAAAAAGTAAAAAAAACCAAAAAGAACAAAAACAAAAAAAAAAAAAAAAAAAAAAAACAAAAAAAAAAAAAACCAAAAAGAACAAAAAGTAAAAAAACCCAAAAAGAACAAAAAGTAAAAAAAACCAAAAAGAACAAAAAGTAAAAAAAAAACAAAAAGAACAAAAAATTAAAAAAAACACAAAAAGAACAAAAAGTAAAAAAAACAAAAAAAAGAGTAAAAGTAAAAAAACTAAAAAAAGAGTAAAAGTAAAAAAACTAAAAAAAGAGTAAAAGTAAAAACAAAAAAAAAAGTAAAAAAAAAAAAAACAAAAAAAAGAGTAAAAAAAAAACAACCAAAAAAGAGTAAAAAAAAAACAAAATAAAGAGTAAAAAACAAAAAAAAGAGTAGAGTAAAAAAACCCAAAAAGAGAGTAAAAAAAAAAAAAAAAAAAAAAAAGGAGTAAAAAAAAACAAAAAAGAGTAAAAAAAAACCCAAAAAAGAGTAAAAAAAAAACAAAACCAAAAAGAGAAAAAAAAAAAAAAAAAAAAAAAAAAAAACAAAAAAAAAAAAAAAAAAAAAAAAAAAAAAAAAAAAAAAAAATAAAAAAAAAACAAAACCCAGAAAAAAAAAAAAAAAAAAAAAAAAAATCATAGCAAGAGAACAAATAGAAGCATAAAAATCAAAGTAAACATTATATAGGGCAGTATAAAAACTAAACCAGAGGTTGTGGTAACTAACACTGAGAAGATGAAGAACTGTAATAATGTTGCATTTATTTTAACCTTAACTTACCTCTTTTTGATAAGTTTCATCAATCCAAACACTGTAACGAGACAAGAGCTGCAGGGTGAGTCTAAGGAAGCGATGCACAAGAGTAGGTAAGTAAACATTTGATTGCCAGCATTTGTAAATAGATTCCCACATTTGATGGCTGGCAGTCAGATAAAACTCATTTTCTGAAAAGAGAGAAAAGAAAAAAAATTATATCATTAATCAACCTTGGTAATATTAGATGAAACATTGTCATTATTATTAATTTTTGAGTCTTGCATTTTATTTGTTTTTATTATAATTTTCTTTTATGAAGTTACAAATGTAAACATACAATTCTGTCTGAATCTTTGGGACAAGGTTACCATTATTTACATTTGGACTATCACCTTAAACTTTGTTATCATCAAATTTTGGCTGATGTGCCATTTAGCCTTCATGTGCTTGTCGATACAAGTAACCTTCAGGGAATTTTCAACTAAACCCATTATTTAATCTACAGGGGTAAATTGTTCTCATTACACTATGTCTAAGGATCTCTCATATCTTGTTCTTATTTAGTATTATTATTAGCTTGTTATTTATTCTTATTGTTATTCAATTAATGCCTGCTAAGTTTTCACCGAGTCTGAGTTTGCACCAGAGATTGAACTCACAATTACTATCACTAAATTCAAGAAACAATGCTTTAATCTGTGGAAACTTAGAACTTGAAGCCTTAAATGTAATCTACCTGCTGTATTCATCTCTGTTATGACCAACTGAATTCATTGCAACTTCTCTTTTCTTACAGCTGCTGCTGTTGAAGCTTTGCTGTCATGTCTCTAATATTTATGAAGATGGTATTTATTTCTATGTAAGGCTTCCTGAGTAGGCCTTTATACATGCCGATTACCTCACTCTCTAATTCTTCAGTGTTCTTCTGTCTAGTATTTTTACTTCATCCCAAAGGGGTTGGTGACTATCCTTTACCCTCCATACATGATCAGCTATGCCCCATTACCATGTCTCACCCACTTTAGCTTTTTGATACTACTCTAGCCTTACTTTTAAGAGGTGGCTGGTTTCACTTTTGTGCTCTTTGCCACAACTACAAGGGATGAAATACACAGTTTTTGGTCATTTTCTCCTCCGTGTTAGGCTTGATTCAGTAGAAATTTCTCTGTAATATCAAGCTGCTTTTGAATATTGTCCTGATGTTGTATGGACCACAAATCTTTTGAATCTTTGCCGACAAACCATTGATATAACAGACAGATTGTAGCAGGTGTCTCATCCTACTCTTCTGTTTCTGCCTGCAGAAGCTGTCAGTATGTTTGCAGGTTAACTGTTATTTTGAAGGGTGTGCTTGATGCTAATCATTTCTTGTTTGTATATGTCTGGGTTGCCACTGACGATTTTTGCACAATATAATAGGTTTCGGTTGATCACTTTCAAAAATCATGTGATGACACAGGTATATACCAACAGATGACCAGCATCAAACATACTCTTCAGAATAACAACTACCCTGCAGATAAGTTTTAGAATATGTACCTCAATTTTAGAGTCTTTAAATTAACTTTAAATACAGATTGTGGGAGGGAATTCTGCTACGCCCTGTATGCCTTAATGAGTCTCAGTCCCCCTTTCTTAATATTTATATTGTAGACTAAGACTGATTTAGTTTTATACAAGACCGCATTAGAAAGGCACATGGTGAAGATTGAAGTCATTCAATAGTCTATGATACTGTTTTGATAATCCTTCTATCATAATGCCACTATTCTATGGCTATTGTTATAACATACTCTTACTTATATAATGTACTTCATATAAGGATTCTTTATATATAATGCTTCGGCTACTTGCTGTGATGCCTTTATTAGTCTGAAGATTGGTTCCAAATGGTTAGGTATTTACCAAACCTCCCCTACAAGGCAGGATGTGACACAAAGCCAGTTTTCATGTTAGGTGATTCCAAGCCCATAGATTCAGGCACAAATTCCTCTTAGACCCTGCATATACAGGGTTGGGGTTGTCTACTTCCTCAGACAAGACTCTGCCGTTTAGCATAGCCTCATCTGGATTCCACTTTGCCCAAAGGCAGTTGGTTGCGAGCCTGGCAGCAAACTGCCCGACTCCAAATGGCTACCTGTCTTACCATTGCCATGGAGCTCTTTATAGTAATGGACTAGTTCATATAGTCACCAGCAGTGTACTATTTATTCCTACAACAACTTCACAACAAATTTGTTCCCATTTTTTTATTTCTATTGTAGAGATTTACTAAAAAGCTTCACTTAGTTTCACACAAGAGAGTAGTAAAGAGGGAACCCAGTGAGGATCAAACTCACTCTAGTAATAATGGTCAACAAGACTAGCTTGATAATACAATGGTGAGGCAGAAAGGCCTCCTACATAATGGTAAGGCATTAGCTAGATGGCACCATTGCTACTAATGTCTTAGCATTATGTAGGAGGTATTTCTGCCATACCTGTATAATATTTAATGCAGGAATTCAATGTACCCTTAATAGGGATAAATCTGATAGCTTCACATTTTCCTTTCATATTTCATATAAAAAAAGAGGTGGGCATCAAAATTTATCCCAAATATCCAGGGATAGAGTATTGGCAAGTGGTTAGGTCTTAATGCTTAATGGGTTAAAGTTTAGCCTGTGTTCAGAGTAAGTTCCACTTGAGCAGAAGCTTCCCAAGAACTGTTGTTTTGTAGAACCGATTCCCAAGAGAATGCTTCCTTGATCACTACAATTTGAACCTGTTCAAGTTTCGGGTTAACTGTCATCTTCCCCATATATATGAATAAACTATGCCTCATACTCTGTAACCCTTGAGTGGATATTGAGTTTTGTACAGGGTGAATATCACTGTAAAAATCTTTGGAAATTTCCTCCGCACTGGGCCAGCAACATGCAAACAATGTGTGTTCTTAATTTTAACTTCCTGTAAGGGGAGATTACTCACTATCAGAATTCTCAACAAATGAAGTCAATCAGTGCCATATCTGATACACAGTTGGGCAATCATGTCTCTTGATATATGACCAACTAGGCAGAGATTTTCCGGGTGTAGGTTGCCATTTCTGTGTAAGACTGTTTGCCAACCAAGGCTATAGATCCCAATCCATCCTGTTATTCAACCCCTAGCTGGGAGGAAAAGAGATGGATTCAAATTTTTCCCAAGGGTATTTGCATGTAAGTGAATATAATGAACCTAACTTCCTTTGGATTTTTGCAAAGATATGTTAAATAGAACACATCTAGGAGTTGGATAACTTTTGTGGTGGATTTCTAAGTTTTGCATACATATAAGGCAGCTGTGAGGACAATATATGATATTATAGAAAGGTTTGGTTTGTTTTGTTTTACGGCATATCAACCTCAATGGGTCAAATTTTTTTTTCTAGTAATATTTTTGTTTTGTCAAAAACCTATTTCTGTTAATATTTTTTTCCTTGAAAATGTATAGCTGGTAATATTAATTTTTCAAAAACGTACTGCTAGTAATATTATTTTTTCAAAAACATATTGCTAGTAATATTATTTTTTCAAAAACGTATTGCTAGTAATATTATTTTTTCAAAAACGTATTGCTAGTAATATTATTTTTTCAAAAACGTATTGCTGGTAATAATTTTTTTCTTCAAAAATTTATTTCTGGTAATAATTTTTTACATAGATGATTTCTAAGCAACAATAAACACGTGCATATAAGACACTAGAAGCGAAAATCGCACTGCATCTCAGGACGTCACACATGACCACACGGGAGTGAATTGGAGAAGTATGAAGTATGGTGTATGCACGTGTTTATCGTTGCTTAGAAATCATCTATGTAAACAATGACAGACTATCATCACTGTCTTGTCCATATATTGCTTAATGTTGTAATTGACATCTTTGATAATGGCTTATGTAAGCCAAAAGCTTAGATTGTATTAAAAAAAAAATATGGATCAATATTGTGAATTTATTACTTCGTTCAATGATAGTGTTATTAAACTTATTAGATGTTACGAAAAAAATTTACATAAAATAGACAACACTTGTCTATATTATTTAATGAAACGTGTATGAATGAAAAGATGCTGCCTAAATACACACATATATATATATATATATATATATATATATATATATATATATATATGTGTGTGTGTGTGTTACCTCATTCGAGCCTAGCAGCAATATACTACATGAATATATGAGAAATCTTATTAGAAAAATATGCATTCTCTGGCCTCTGGCAAGACATGAACCTGTTTATCCCTAGGGGATACAGTCATTAGATCTGATTTAACTTCTCAGTGGGAATACAGGTTCGAATCCTGCCGGAGGGAACATATTTGCCTAATAATATTTCTTGAATATTCAGGCTGGTAGATGGGAATAAATAAATATGCTGTTTAATAAACAGAGCATCTACTCAAATATTAAAAATAATTTTTAAGCAATAAATTAAAAGATAAAGTTATATAATTTGAGCTTCACTGAAACTAATCTTTGTTGAACCTATGTGATTTTAGCTTCTGATTTTCCTTTGTAAGGTATTGTTTACCATCACAACAACCTTATGGGTCCATTTCATGTCAAATTAGTTTTTTTACATCAAGTAATTTTTAATCCTTTTTGTTTTATTCTGTGACATGTATTTTGGATGTGACTACTTTGTATTGGTAAACAAATATTTTATGGATTTTTTTTGTGTCTTGTAACTAAAAGAGTTTAAGAAGACTTATTTCTCCCCAAAAAGCTAGTAACTGACAAAAACACACTTTTTTAAGTAATATCAAAGTTTGGTATATTATAGTATTTATGTTGCATGTGTGTATATCATTTTACATTCTCTCATAGTATTTTATAGTTAATTGGTGTTCACAAAGAGTTCATTGGAGGGCGTTTTCAACATTAAGGTGTCATGGGGGGGATATATGTATGTTCAATTTCTGATTTCCATTGTAAAGATTGACATAAAACAATCTTATTTTGTTGTGCTAAATTTAACAGATATCAATACCATATTTCTTCCTATTTAAGATCCTAATTAAGTCTTAAAAATGACTTGAAGATATTCTGCTTTCATATTAAGGGAGATATTAAATATTCTTACCAGTTGTTTTGTTGAAGCCAATAACAAGGGAATTTTCGAACAGTCCTGCAATTTCCTGGAACCTAAAAAAGAAAAAAAAAAATAATTTAAAATTATTTGTGATATATTGCATTTTATTAGCATTTAATATTTTTGTTTGACTTGCATTCTATTTAATTTTATTTACTCTGTAATATTAAAACTAATTTTGTTTGTATGTTCTTTCCGAAGACACAGCTTAAAAGATACATAATACCCCAGCCAATTTACGAGCATGTTGTACCTTGACTCCCTGCCGAGTGCAGTGCCAAATTTCATTAGAATTACTCAAAGGATTCTTAAGCTAGGGCCGTTTTTCTGTTTAAATGACATTTTTAATAGAAAGTTCAGTATTTGCTTGCAATACACATTCTTATATCAATCTGCATATATAAATAAATACTTGTATATTATATTCCAACTATTATAAGATTATTGAATAAATTTATATATGCATAACACAACATATATTTATACAATTAACTATACTACAATACAACTTTTTATTATAAAGAACTACTTGAAAGGTGAAGAGCTTGATGGCTTGATAGTAAATAAATAGATGCACATTTTGAAAAATGTGAGGAAGAAACAAATACATGTAACAAAAAATATACTTATTTTGAAAAGACTACACCTGTTTTAAGTTATTATTCCTTTTGTGATGTCAATGAATACTCATCATCACTTTCTTAATGCTCGTTGTAGTAGGGACTTTGTAATCGCAATTACAACTATAGTAATACTGTTGAACAAGATGCCTTTGAATATCACTTGCACTAATAGTACTTGCTCGATAATACTCGTTCAAACAGTAATCCATATAGTGATCTGAATAGAGGAATAGTATAGTGAATAGAGTAGAGAATAGCTATCCATATAGTAATAGAGGATAGACTAGAAATAACAATCTGAATAGTAATAGAGGATAGAATAGAAATGCAATCAATTAGACAAAGGCTACCTCCCATATATACATTTCCTCTATGGTCACGCGGTCTACTTAATTCAATAATGGGATCGTCTGTGTTTGCTCATTGGCGATCTATGTTAAAACACAAGTGTCGGTAGTGATATTTTATTCCTATATAACAATTCCAAATTTTCATGTAATGTGTTAACTATGAAGCCAAGTGGAACAATAAACCTTCTTTTAGTGTTTTTAAATACAAATTAAAAAAAGGTAATTAATAATAAAATTGTTAATATTGTTACCTCATCATTTTGTACCATGAATTGCCTTCAAAAGAAACACAGTGGGTTTATGGGTGATCTAGTCTTTACTTATTACTTAATGTATTCAGTGGAATCAGGGTGACCAATAAGTGAGCAGTAGTAAATAGGAATCAGATGAGATATCCCTAGACATGGTCTGTAGAATGGAAACAATCTACCTCCATATATTTAAGTGTTCAGTTTCAAATTCCCAGCAGGTTATCTGGGTCAAGAAGCACCTGAAGAAGGCTGGAGGATACAACAGATTGTTGAAACTTGGATAAGCATGGAATAATAATAATACAACACAAAATGTACGTAAACAAAATGTATTGAAACAAGGGAAAGGTACACAATATTTACAGTTAGTTTTGGTATATTCTTGGGAAGACTGTTCCTGCAGAATGGGTTGTCTAAATCGCAGTCGGGCAGAGTCTCTCGATACGATCTCTTCTTACTTCCCCCGTCTTCCCGGTACCAACCCATATTTATATGGTCGGTACTCCACTTATGTAAATTAGGTGGATCGTACCACAACACAGATGAAACATGAGAAAGATGTTGATAATAGTCATGTAAATAATGATAACTCATCATCACAGAAATTCAAACATAAAACTAACTAAAAAGAATGACGTGTGTTAGTTAGCTTTTGTTGCTTAATTGGTAAGGTGTTGTCCATGTTAAACATGATCCCAAAGATAAAGGATTCAAGTTCAAATTTTGTTAGGATCTAATCCTTTATTCTTGACCCCTGCTGCATATTTAACAGGTGTGGAGAAATTGAATAAAAAAACTAGCTAAGAATTAATTGTGGAATTTAATTATTTTGAAACTAAAAAGATTCCAAATGTGAGAATTGGATATGCCAACCTGATCTGGAAATAAACAGGAAGATTCCATTTGGACATGTATAACTGATAACTGGAATGTTCTCGCAGACGTTTCACACTGGCCTGGGAACCACATTGGTGTTCAAATTTGGACAAAAAATCCATACTGATTGTAAATTTCTGGAAAAAAAAAAAAAAAAAAAAAAAAAAAAGAAGAAAGAAAGAAAGAAAGAAGGAATCAGAAGAGAGAAAAGAAATAAACAAAAAAAAATAGAGAGAAAACATTTAAATACCGGTAAAGAGAAAACCAAAATAATATCTAATATTTGAATAAGATTCTAGGTAGAGTAAAACTAGTATGTTTTGGGGAAAAGTATATTATTTTATTGACTTAGTCATCTTGTCATCTTCTATGGCTTACAAACTCTTTGCAGTTATTTAAAGCCAGAAAATATTTTTTGATTGTAAGGTTTTTTTTTTTTTTTTTTTTAGATAATAATCGTAGCTTGGGGAGAATATGTGTTCATATCTTTTCCAAGGGTATGTGGATGGCAGGAATTCAACAGAAATTGGCTCTCTGATTATCAATTTAGAGCCATTATCTATAACACCACCTGCACATCCAAGTGTATAGACCTGGTATTCCCAAAGGGTCACCCACCTAGGTACTGACAAGACTCAACATTACTTAACTTCAGTGATCGTATGGGAACTGATGTTTCAATGTGATGTGGATGTGCATCTAATATAATTTCTTGTTTAGTAGTTATGACCTCAATCTTCTTTGGGGAATGAGCCATGCAAAGTGGACATGTGAAGGATCATGCTCATCCTCTCCTTTGACATCCCTGCCATAAAATTGTTTTAATATTGGGGGATATCTTTATGCCCTTGTGGTTAATATTCACATAATATAACATAGGTATAATATTTATTCTTTTCAAATCTTTTAGGGTTTTCAAAAAAAAAAAAAAAAAAAAAAAAAAAAAAAATGCTTTATCAAAAAGTTGATTTTATTCCTTGACACTGCCATTATCTTAACTACCTTCATTGCTTGGCAATGTTTATTGTTTTAAAAAGTGAAGATTAGAATCTTAATAGATCCCAAACATGTGAAAGTGAATTTTTACATTTTCTTTGTTCTTGAGAATTTACAACAATTATTAAAATACTATTATTTATTAGACTGTTTATTTACAAGAATAATTCTATATTTAAAAAATTCTAAAAATGTCACCCAACCAATACAATGCAATGTTTATCATTTACTGATTTATAAAGAATAAATATGAAAACATTTCACTCTTCATTTAAGATTTCTTTATCACTTGGCTGACAATAAATAATCCATTGGCAGATTTTCTAGGCACTTTTAGAAGGATTAACAATAACTTTTTTTTTTCAAAATTATGTTAAAACAAAAACAAAAACAAAAACAAAAAAAAAAAAAAAAAAAAGCAGTAAGAAGTGGGGTAACCTATATTTGCTGGAGTTACAGGGCTTGGATTTTTATTGATTAGGCTTCCTGATCCTAGATCATGATTATAAAAAAAATTTGGAAAATTGAAACAAAGTAATCTGAGATATAAAATAATTTGAGAAGAAAATGTATTATGTCCAGGAAAATCATGTTTATTTGAATTTTCTTATTCTATAGTTCATAGATATTCTTATAAAATTATGAATAAAAAACTGGTTTTCATAGTTATTCATGAAATGATAAAAATAAATATTGCATTGCAGTTTATTCACATATTTTGAAAATTTTGTAGACTTTTATAAATTTCTGAATTAAAATATTTATTTTCAAATTTATTTCTTTAGAAAATGATAGATAATAAATATTGTATTACACTATAAAGAATTTTTAGTTTTTGTTTATTGTTTTCATGTTTAAGTAATAAAAAATTCTTGAAGCTATATACATAAAACAGTTGAAACCTAACCTGAACAAAAAAAACTATGAAATCTCCACAAATATTCTTAAATGTCTATAATTGGTAACAGAAGCCATTGGTTTATACTAACGGCTTCCCATACTTAATACTTCTCGAATTCACTCTTGCGTGGTCATGTGTGATGTCATGAGCTGCGGTTCAATTTTTGCTTCCAGCACGTGTTTATCGTTGCTTGAAAATAATCCTTGTAAACAGAAACAGACTATCACCACATTCTTGTCCGTGTATTGCTTAATATATTTTACTGTAATTGTCATCTTTGATAATGGATTATGTAATCTAAAAGCTTAGATTGGATTAAAAAAAAATATGTATCAATATTGTGATTTTCTTTCTTCATTTAATGATAATGTTATTAAGCTTATCAGACGTTATGAAAAGAATTTACATAAAATAAATAGAGAACACTTGTCTATATTATTTAATGAAACATGTTTGAATATATATATATATATATATATATATCTTGATCTCTGATGAAGCTTTAATAAAGTGAAACATGCTAGATTAAGATCTGTTTCCCACTTGTTCTTTATCACATCATATATACAAAAACGCTCACACACATGGAATGAAAATAATCTACTTTCAAGAAAAATAAAAAAAAAAATGAAAAAAGAAGTTTGGCTAAGAATTCTGACAAGAAGGTAACAGAAACCTGGCAAATGTCGGTAGATACAACGGCTGAAATATTGTGAGTATAACAAGCAAAATGAGTTTGTTGGTCTGAATAATAAAATATACATACTGTTGTTATTAAAAGAATTTTAATAAAAAAAAAATTATTAAAAATGCTGTGTTTACTTTGTGAAATTTAATAATTGTCTTTTTATAAAGAGTCCAGATATAATAGCATTATTTGAAATGCTGGAAATGTCTGAGAGACAGTATCTTTGAAATACACAGAAGCAAAATGTTTTAATGTCAGTCCTGACATAGGATGATACTCACTTCATGGAAAATATCAGGATTTCCTGGAGCAAATATTGATGGAATTCTTGCTTCTATGTTGGAAATAATTTCAGGCCAAACTGCATTGACAACAAAATCATATCCACGAATGACATCACCACTGAAATACAAGAAATTATAGATAACTAGAAATACTGAAGGAGATTTTATAATTTTCCAATGTTAATTTTCTGATGAATCTTAATTCTTAAATTAATGATTGAATAAGCTTATGGTGAATTCTATGGCAATAAAATATCCATAGAAATTCCTCACTCATATCATTAAATAATTGAGCTTAACAACTTTAAGAAAATATTAGAACAACAATCAGAAATAAAAATGCTGGTCATTATTTTAAGAAGTGGGTACAAATGAAAAGATTTGAAATTGACAACTTTTTCTATTTTCTTTAATTTATTTTCTCACTGTAATGAAGTTGCATCTCTTTACCATCTTTCCATGTGATCAAAAGCAAAGAGTTCATTATTTATGAGGTATTGGAAGGGTGTCATTTTTTTTTTTTTTAATCAATTCCTCCCAAGCAATCCAATAATGCCACTAAGACAATGGGATACTACAAGTGAAAGAGAACATTAGAAGGAACTGAAAACCCAATCTTAAACAGAAAAACAAGGGATAAACCTCTACTCTAAGAGTGGGGACAAGTGTTAACCAGATGATAAGCAAACCTAACTATTCCTGTTGTAGAAAAAATGAATAGTAAACAAAATTTCAGTGTTTAGGTGGAGATGTTAGAAGTATAAATTTAAAGTAGATTTTAGAAGGAACTGGAAACCCAATCCTCAGAAGGAAACATGGTATAAACCTCTAGAAAGAGGCTGTTCAAAGAGGCCAAGGAGGAGTGTGAACCTATGTACTCCTATTGGTGAACTTATCTATGTCATGCTAAGGGAAGGACACGCAGAATTATAATAATATAGTTTATAGTTCTATATTCTCTGTAATACATACATTCATCCCTGACTACTGGCAATTCATTTATAATAGTAAAAGCTTTAGTAATGTGTTGGCATTATATATATATATATATATATATATTATTGCTTACGGTCAAATCATGCTGAAACACCGGTTCTCGTTCAATCACCGAAGTTAAGCATTGTAGAGCCAGGTCAGTACTTAGATGGGGGACTGCTTGGGAACACCTGGTACTGTAAGCCCCCAAAGTCCAACCCTTACCTCACAGTCGGAGGGGGGGGTGTAAACGGTAGTGTCAGAGTTATGCCGCCCGGAACTTTGTTCCTGGTAGGGCCACCCAAAGGCGGACAGGTCTGACACACGCCGCTAACAAGGGCTCTGGTGAAAATCCAAGGAGCGTCTGCATCGGTAACCGGCGGCTTCTGGTCGTTCCTGTCTCAAGGCGTCTGTGGGAATCCCATGCAAGCAAGAACGTTATTCGAGTAGGCCTGGGTACCCTACTTCTGTAATTTATCCCAAGAATCTTCTTCTCATAACAGGAAGAAGCCGGCTCAATCCGCCCAGGGTGAATGCCGCATCAGTACAGTAGTAATATGTATTATTCTGTCAGTAATGCTTGTATCATTTCCCAACACAAACTATGTGAACTGGAATTAGACATTTGTTAATTCCCTTTTCTATGCTGTTATCCCTTAGATTATTTGCATTCAGGAAGCAGTCAAATGGACTTTGCTCTCACGAACCTCACTTGATTAACTCAAAAAAAAAAAAAAAACCTGTAATTGCAAATTTCTTATTAGCTAAATTTCTGTACAAAGATTTGTCAGGTATGAACTAAAAGGAAACAAATCCTTTCCCAATGGTGAAGATTATAAAAATAATTAGCTAGGGAGTTAGGTGCTTCACTGCAGGAGACAGAATGATTTTATTAGGTGAAAGATGGGGAATAAAAATGAAAGCTAAATGGAGAATTAAAGTTGGCATTCCTGTCTCTCTCTTTAGATTCTTCTCCACAAATGAATTTGAATATATATATCTTGATCTCTGATGAAGCTTTAATAAAGTGAAACATGCTAGATTAAGATCTGTTTCCCACTTGCTCTTGGGAAAGATAGTGGTGTGGTATCCCTTTTCATTCTCCTTGGTTTGGAATTCAAAGTTTTCCTTCTCATTGCCACTTAAAGCTAGAGAGTCTAGTCTACCCTACTATTTAACCGATAGCTGTGGGAGAAGAGATGCATTTATGATATCCCCAAGAGTCTCTATGCTGTGGGAGAAGAAATGGATTTCGGCCTTTCCCCAAAGTGAATGTAACGACCTAGCATGGAATTTGAACTCCGATTACCAATTTCATTTTCATTATCAATATCCATTACACTAACTAACATATGTTCACAAAAGTCTGTCTAAAATCCAACATGGAGGTATCTAACTTTCATAAAAGAAAAGATGGTTACGACTATTACAGTCCAAATTAATTCAAGAATCATATCAGTTGAATAAAACAAGTTAAAATTTAATCCCCTTAATAACATATAATACACGAGATAAAGCTTAAGTGGAATAACGCCAATAATCTTTTTTTAATGTAATCTTTTGGGTACAATCCTTAAATATAATATGCCCCCCCCACATATATATATATATATATATATATATATATATATATATATACACACAAGTTTTTTTTGTAACAATAGAGGGGCAATGAGCAAAGTTTTCACGTGAGATGCACAGAAGTCAAGACTCCCATTCACATCCAAAAAGCTACCACACTGAAAACTACAAAGAGACCACCTCAAACAACAGTGACACAGTTCACAGTAAAAACTAATTTCTGACTATCGCCTGTATCCCCCCGTTACTACTAAGCACACATACATGTATTGATGCTTTCACACAAATGATGACCCACTTGCCCAAATTCAAGTTATATTTGTTTGTGAAAAGAAAAACGAAACAACATTTCACGATTTTTCACACATGTACATAAATTACATTTATTTCTTCCTAATTGGCATTAAAAAGGAAATAAAATAGTTAAATTTGTAAAACAAATGTTTAACATGTCTAATGTTTCCCAAAACTCATGTCTGTCTCATAATTTTTATTTAACTAAAGAAGTTCTTTTCAAAGACAAATATAACTTGAATTTGGGTGGGTGACTCATCATTATTTTGCAAACTATGCCTCAATTGTTACACAGAAAAAAGTTGTACTTGGATTAAATGAAAATTACTTACAATATAATACATGTTACTTATAATACATTCTTTCTTGCCATCAATTTTGACAGCATGAGTACACTATTAGATTAAATAAAAGACAATGCAATTATAATATTGTCTGGTCCAAAATCAACTTACCTTGGAGAACTAGAAGAGGTAATATCCTTTAAGATTTGGCAGTGTTTTGGAATAAACTCCAGAACTTTAGTGTACATCCCTTTCAGGCTACTTGATCGCAAGAAATCCTCTGTGATTATCTTATTAAAACAAAAGGAAACATGATTTTAAAGGTATCAAAAATAATATTTAGTAATACTCAATGAATGAAAAAAAAAAAAATCAGTAAATAAAAGCAAAAATATTTTATTATGTAGTGTATCGTGTTTATGACTCAGTGCAATCAGGTAGGTGAATGTAACAACCTAGCATGGAATTCAAACTGCCTACCAATTCCACTTTCAGTGTCAACATCCGTTACACTAACTTCATGTTCACAAAAGCCTGTCTCCATTAAGTAAGTCTGAAGTGTCTCATTTTCTATGGCCTTTATCACTGTATCTCACTTAAAAAAAAAAAATGTTTCACAAAGTATAAACTGTTTTTTTTCACTCATAATGTTATCAGTTGAACAGACATGACTATTCTTTTTATAAGAACTTAAATTGAAACCTCACTGAAGTTAAAGCAGAGAGAGAGATATATATCATTTTGACAAATTTCAAAGGAATTACTAATGAATAAACAATAAAAAAGTGATAATTATCTACAGATTTACAGTATGACCTTGTTATTAGTAGTAGATTGGTTCCAAGACCACTGATGATAGTGAAATCCATGGATAATGATTAATAATGAGATTAACTGTTATCTTATGGAACTAGTAAATACTAAACATTTCAGGCACCTAGGTGAATGGATCAGTTATTATGAAATTAGTATAGGAAAAAAGGAAATTTAACATGGAATAGGCAGCACCAGATATAGTTTAACCCAACACTTTAAATTGATACAAAACCAAAACATTAACCAAAAAAAAAAAAAAAAAAAAAAAAAAAATATCTAAACTGTCAGCTGCATATAACTGCTGCCTAAGATCAATGGTTAAAAGATGCTTTCAGCAGGTGAAGCCTGAGGGTCTTGGTTCAGATCATCCTTCTTCTGGCGCCACAGAATTGCAAAGAACTGTACCAAATAAAAGAAACCACATCACTTGAGTACTAGCAACAGCAGTAAAAACTAAAATAGATAACACATGTACCATAATTCCCACATGTATAATACGCCTTCATCCATAATACGCACCCCTACTACACAGGCTCATTAACCTGTTTTTGTTCGATAAAATGTGTAATCTACCAGATCTGTATGTAGTTTTTCACAAAAAATGGTTTTAATCATAGAATAATATTATTCTATTTTAGTTTTATGATAATTCTTATTTTATTTTACATTTGTATGTATTGTTAGGTACATATGATTGTAATTAACATCCTTATGGGGTTGCAATCGCCAAATGTTCGTGTCAAAATTCTCATATGTTTGTGGTGAGCAGTCATTTTGCAACTGAAATCAACCTATGAAATGGCAATTTTTTTAAAAGATGCTTTTGTAGCTGTGCATAATATACACCCCTAATTTTGCTTATTATTTTTTTTTAGAAAAAAATGTGTATTATACATGGTTAATTACGGTAATTTAAAGAGAAAATAATGACATAATCAAGATGTTGACATTCCACATTACTTGAAATAAAAGTTTGGAAAGGAAACCCCCATCAATACTGGAAAGAGTGATAACAGCTACTGGACTTGAGAAGAGAAAATAATGACATAAAAATTTTATGAATTTCAACTACAGGTAGTACTGGCTGCTCAGCAAATGAATGCCAAATGTCTCCTTGTTGGGAAATGGCTAATATTAATATTACAAGGAAACATTTGGCATTCATTGACCAAACATTTAGCATTACTGTCAGCTTAAATGTATAAAATCTTTCTCTTAAAACAGTTTTACAGAAAAAATAGGTTCATCAAGTCCACTGTTTTTGCAGAGTTGGGTTCCTTCCTAACCTTTTGTTTGTAGTAGTGTGAAATATCAACATTTTGATTATGTCATTATTTTCTTTTTTAGTTATATGTGTTATCCATTTTAGTTGTTGGTAGTTTACTTTATTTGGCAAAGTTCTTTGTGATTCTGTAGCACCAGTCTTCAAGAGCCACAGAGTAAATTCCCTTGAATTCATTTTTAAGCATTGATCAGAAAAATTACCATTATGTGGGAGGTATTTCTAGCACACCCTGTCTAATTTAGCCTATATTTTTAAAATGTCTGTTTTTAAAGGCCCTAATGACTTACTTTAATGAGAAATCATTAAGTTGGAAATTGATCCATTATGATACCATATGATTATTGAAATTGTAAACATTTCTGCTTAAAAAAAAAATTCAAATTTAAAAATCCCACATTTTACTTTTCCCAACAATATCTGATATTTCACATAGCACAACATAATATAAAATTTTTAAAATGAAAGAAAAAAAAATAATTGTAGACAGTCAATGAGAAAACATGATTATGTGTTGAATTTGGGTGATATTTCAGTGTTTATTTCCATCATTCTCAATGTTAATAAAATCAGCCATAATTTTCTAGTTTGTTAATCAAGTATTGATTATATGACTTTCTTTAAAGATACTTATATATTTTAAAATTCTGATCCTATAGAGAATTAGGTTTGATTTGTTTTATGGCATATCAGCCTCAATGGGTTATTTAATGCCGACAAAATTTTTATTGCTGGTAATATGTTTTTCTTCAAAAATTTATTTCTGGGAATATTTTTCCTTGAGGAAATACATAGCTGGTCATATTTTTTTTTCAAAGAATGTATAGCTGTTTGTATTGCTGGTATTCTTTCGTTTTAAAAGTATTTTTCCTTCAAAAATTATTGCTGGTAATATTTTTTTTTTTTTTTTATTACAAAGTATTTCTGATATTAAAACCTATTTTTACACAAGTTTGGGTGTCAACTATTTGCTCATAGCTGGGACCCTAACAGGTACTACCACACTGGGTCAGGGTGGACCTGGGAATGCCAGCAATTAAGAGGTATTCTACGATCCTCAAAACCTCCTGATCAGAGGCCTTGCTGTTGGACATAGTTTATCGTCTTACCCAGGACAGCATATAGAGAATTAATAAAATAAGTTGGATATAGCCAGTCAGCATGCACAAATGAATTTCATTTCAAGAGTTGTTCTGACTGTTGCATTTTCAGCCAGTTCATTCTTCAGCCCTTTCCATGACATGAGAAGGAGATTCATCAAGGTCCAGTAGTTTGAATCGCATGATGAGCCTTTTTTACTCTTCTTTCTCATTGTCGTTTGTACTGTATTATAGTGTTGAACTGTCATCAAATACCGAAAACAGCATTCCTTGGTTTGACTAGCACCTGAACCTATGGAAAGCTAAAAGAGTTAAATGGAAGCATTAGCCAAATACCTCATAGTCGCATCCTGACTGTGCTAGGTATCGCCAACTGTTAGTTCTACTGGAGAACTCATAGGCTTGTTGAAGGGAGCAGTGCTGCCCAACCAGTCTGATGCAGACTGAGCTCAGCAACTGCAATCCACCAGCCTGTTGGCAGTGGTTTCCCTGTATCCCTGATATGGGGAGCTAGTGGTTGCTAAGAACTGCTCACCCCAAACTCAAAGAGAGAAAAGAGTTGTACTTCTCCATTGGCCAGAAAACAAATATATATGGTAGCTAATAATACTGGCCAGTCTGACTCATTTTCAGCAACACAAGCCACACAAGACACCATTCTCAGTAACCTGTATAATAAAGGTCCTTCTATATTTATACACAAGTATGTTTTTCAATTCTGACTAGAGATAGAAAGTGTATTAACAGATTGACTGCCAAGCAGGTGATAACTTGTTGGCAGTTTTATTATGATACCTACCACAAGTTATCTCATTTTTGTGGTCTTGCCTTTAAGGCTGGTGTCTAAGGCAGGAATGAAAAACTATACTGACAGCTAAAAAAAAAAAAAAAATTTTGATGGGAAAAATTTATTGAAAATATAACACATAAATAAAGCATTTGAAAAAAAAACAAACTTTATTGCCCAAGTTGGCTATTATAAAGTTGGCATTTGAAGTCAGATTTCATAATTGTCCTCTGGCAGTCAACATGTTAACCACCATGTAATAAGCTTGCAATAGGATAAGAACGAGCATTACCGATCACTGAAAGCATGACTCACAGAGATGGAATCTTAGTGATTAAGCTCTCAAAGATAACCAGCTGAGATTATCCTAATTTAGTCAGAGAATTTGATTTTTTTTTTTTTTTAAACCCTTTGGAGACAGAGCCTCATTTGTAGTTTCAGTGCCAAGATGGAGCCTTTTTGTTTTGGAACAAAAAACCAAAAAAAAAACCCCAAAAAACCTGATATAAAATCACAGAACACAGCCTTTGAAAGGCCCAGATATGCAAGAAGCAATCTGATTGGCTAGTATGAATGACCAACCAGCTTTAGGCTTGTATTATTGGGCTGATGGGTCATCCCAGTTGTCTTCATCATTCAACGTTTTGGCTGATAGACTGGTCCTATTGTCTCCTAAGGGTTAATGTTGCATCATATTGCTTCTTTACACCTAGTAGTAGTAGTAGTAGATGTAATAGTCTTAAGTTTTCCAAATTTCTTAGATGTATATTCTTTATTTCTTATTAGTGCTGCTTTCTCAATGGTCATAGATTGTAAGAATGTCTAAACTTGTAAAATGGCAGCAAAAGATGAAAACAATAATGAAAAAATTAATAATAACACTTCAGTCAATTTAAGACTATTATATCTATGACTACTGCTATGAACAGCAAAATCAAATTCCCAAATCTGTATTTAAAATTCTTCCACAATCTTATTAAAATAAAATCCTCTAGGAATAGATGCAAATGTGAACAAAAAAAAAGAAAAAAAGTTTACCTCTTCCATAAATGGTCGAACAACATGCTTTCTGAATAAGGATTCTGCATCTTTAATTTTGTCAATCAAGGCATATGTCCGTAGGCACTGTCGCAATATATCAGTGTTATTATGATCAAGACCCTCCAGAAAGGAACCTTCAAGGCTGTATTGCAAAGTGCTTGTGATACTTGCAATTCTCTAGAATAGAAAAACAGAAAAATGCAGGTGAAGAAAACATCTTATTATAATAATTTGTAATCAAACATCCTTTTTCATCAAACAGATTTCTAAAAGAAAAATAAATTCAATTTTTAGCACATGGGTGGAAAGTAAACACAAAATACAAAAAAACAACAAAAATAGTTGTCAAAGTTTCATTTAATGAAATCAAGAATAATTCTTTTTTTTCTTTTTAGATCAATTTCACTGAAAAAAAATGAAATTATAACAATTTCAAGTAGCACAAGGATTTTATAATGAGCTTGTATATCATTATATAAAAGGGGGTGATGAAAGTTCTCAGTCTAAGCAAGATTAAAAAATTCTGACATTTAGTCAGATTTTGAAAGTCACACAGGCAGAAAGTTTTTCCACACCCCTTAAATATTTATATGTGGTCATTGTATATTTTCGTTAGTTATTTTCTTTTTATATCAATAATGATGTCTTAATTCTACAACCATTAAGTAAGCAGTAACGATTAGAAACAATTATATATTATATAAATTATATTTTATACTGCCAACAAAATTTTAACTCACATCCCATACCCTTGGGGATTTTTCTGATTTGATCATGGAAATCAACCAGTGGTAAGAAAAAAAGTGTCTAAACAAAATTTTGTAATAACAATGATTCCCCTAAGAAATTCCAATAACTTAAGACTATCATATCTATTACTGCTACCACCAGAGTAAGGTTTAGCTTCCCTCCATTATAGTCATAGAAAATAAGTGATGAAAGCCAATTTAATTTTACATTTGTCTTCACCTGAATTAGTAGTAAACTTTTATAGATGTCCCAAGGGAAATCTAAGAAAAACAACTTCTGGTGGTGACACATCAATGTCCTTGTTTGATGTTGCCGTAACCAGACAATTTCATCATATAAAGTGTAAAACAATAACATTTGTTGAAAATGGATGGAGGAAATTTGTTGCATATGGATGGAGGACACACCAAATAAGAAATCCTTGTTAAGAGAATCCTATTTCCATGATGTTTAAAAAGCAATTCTCCAGATAAAAGAATAATACAATGAATTGTTCCACTAAGAGTCAGGAGAGATAGATGGTAAGATAATATATAAAGAAACCTAGAGACAATAAGAAGGTTCTTAGATGATTCTGAGAGAGTTCTTGTGGGAATCAGAGAGTAACCAATGACAATTACCAACAGTCAATGAAACTTACTACAAAGTGATATATGATATTGATATATTATTTTCACTTGTGCTGCCTGAGGTGCACACTGGGCATCACCTGGAGGGACAAAAACCTCAATCCTTGAAAAAAAAAAAAAAAAAAAAAAAAATGCTGCTTTCCCATCTTGAGGCAGTAAGATCTCTGCTGGTCAGGACATATTTGGAGGATGAAAGACAGAAGAATTCTGAAAGACATTCTCTATGCTGAGAGAGGAGATAAACTGGGTTCTCACAACTCTAGTTTAAGGATGTTCCTATGAAAAGGCTTCATCTTGTTTAATATCAACCTTGTCACCTGACAACACACTGCCTTCAGCAGTAGCAATCTACAGTGTGCTGTTGACATATGAAACCACCTTGGCTCATCACAGAGAAGTCAAAAGAACGAGGAAGAAGAAAAAATAGCAGGAGGGAACCACTAAGACTGGCTGGTACATGCAACATCTGTGATTGTGTCTCCTTCTCACACACAGAACTTCCCAATCATACGAGACACTGCATGGAAATATCAATGGTCATCTGAGACTGATGCCAACAATGACAATATCAGTGATGAGGACCCTCAACTATTTCGAGGTAAAAGTCTATACATTGCAAATAAACCAACAGTGGAATACAAGTTTGGTTTTATTTAGGTTTATTTTGTTTTATGACATATCAACGGGAATGTGTAATTTAATGCCGAAAGATTTTTAAGATAGGTTTGTATGAATAGAATATGTATTCTTTTAAGAAATAAGTTTGTAGATCAGGTTTCATTAATGTATTTTTGTAAAGAGGATTTGTAGAGAGTCTGGTTTGGTTTACTTTGTTTTACAACATATTAACCTCAATGGGTTTATTTAATGCCGACAAGATTTTTAGGATAGATTTGGATGAATAGAATATGTATTCTTCATAAGATCTAAGTTTGTAGATCAGGTTTCACTGAAATATTTTTGCAAAGAGGATTTTTGTCAACAGTCAAATGTATTACTGGCAATATTTAAAAAAAAAAAAAAAAAAAAAAAAAAAAACAACAACAACAACAACAAAAAAACCTTTTACTGGTAATTTTTTTTTTCAAAAAACGTTTTGCTTGCCCTCCTACGAAGATCCATCCTTATACTTTCAGTGTTTTGACCCCAGTTTTCAGGTTAACTACTTGCCCATAGCTGGGACCCCAACAGGTGCTACCATCTTGGGTCAGAGTAGAGCAGGAAACAGCAGCAATTAAGAAGTGGGTCTATGCTCCTCAAAACCTCCCGATCAGAGGTCTTGCTACCAGATGTAGTTTATTGTCATACCCAGCATAAATAAATCTAAGTAAAAGGTAGATCAATGATTTTACAGCAAATGATATCTTTTAAGCTGGACTAAATTGTGAGCACACTGCATGTTTACCAGTTGATTGCAAAATTATTTTTCTGGTTGCACAAGAATAATGCGCATACAGCAGACTTAACATTAAACTGTATGACTTCCTCTTTAAGACCAAAGAATATAAAGATTCTCTTCTAATGAAGACAATGGGTAATAGATTTTGGTAATTCTGGCAAGCCTATCAAAACATTTATTGAAAGAACTCAAGAAATATTTGTTTAATATGATTTCCTAACACTCCTAATGCTTTAGAAGTTAAGAGATGTGCATAATTAGTGGATCAAATGCATATTCTCAAATTATTATTATATAACATTTGTAGTCTCAAAAAAAAAAAAAAAAAAAAAAAAAAAGAAAAAAAAAAGATTAATCTAGCAATGGTTCAGGAATTAAGAGTACCAGAAAGTTTGGTGGCATATATACAGGGTGTTTCAAAAAGAATACGCCAAAATCATCATGTGATATGTCAAAAACGAAACAAATTACAAACCTCTAGCATGAACACATGTGTTATATATACATTCAAGTTTCATTTCATGTTTTATAAGTGCTCAATATGGCCACCACTGGCAGCACGGACAACATCAAGCCGATATGAGAGTTCCTCCCAAACGTGCCTCAGCATGTCACGGTCCACCGTGTTGATTCCAGCTGTTATTCGATCTTTCAAGTCATCGATACTTGCTGGAAGTCTGTCTTTAACATACCCCCACAAGAAAAAGTCACACACAGTGAGGTCCGGGGATCTGGCAGGCCAAACACAGAGAACAAGGTCTTTAAGCACCTCTCCTCCCAATCCATCGCTGAGGCACGTTTTCATTCAGATAAGCTCTAACCCCGAGATGCCAATGGGGTGGTGCTCCATCTTGCTGAATAATGAAGTCATTCGAATCTGCTTGCAGTAAAGGGAATAGCCATTTTTGGAGCATTTCGAGATAGGTTTGTCCTGTTTGTAGCTGCACCGGAAGTTATACTAACGACAGTGGTGAAACCGACACCCAATCAAACTTTGATAACTACTCTATCAAATAACCACTGATTCAGTCCACTACAATGCTAGAGACCTGAAAAAACAGTGTAATGGTTTGGCGTATTCTTTTTGAAACACCCTGTATTATAAAATGAAATTATTATTCCAATAATAATGTAAACATATGTGGCCCCTTGCACAAAATTTCTATCAACTGACCAATGATTACCCCATGTTGCATTTTGATTCTTGATCTTGTCGGTGTGCATTGAATGCTGTGAAAGCGCTTGCTACTGTACACAAGGTAACCGGATGAAAGACAAACACCACATTAAGTAACAAGAATGTTTCCCATATAAAATAAATGTTTTATTCAGGGATCCACCTGCTTGTCTGGGTGATGATACTTGGAACAACTTCTATGTTGGTCTAAGAGCTCAGCTCCCTCCCACTACCAACTTCTTGTCTGTCTAATCATCCTGATGTGGTGGGTGACAATATGAATGGACAGCACAGGAACCACATGATGGACAAGTTTGTTTCCTGCAAAAGGCAGACCAGAAATCCCTGATCCCATGCATATCTGTTAATATAGACCAGTACTTGGTTATACCCTATTTCCGGCTTTGTTGCCACTTGATCTCCAAAACACCCATCCACTCCTTTACTTTTCATTACCCTTTGGTCCAAGTGGATGCTGCTTAGAAGACAGGACTTCCCGTCTGTCAAATAGAAACACTTGAGATCAAGATACAGCTAGCTCTTTCCTTTCTACATGGGTGTCCATAGTATCACGATAAAAACAAACAGTAAATAAAGATCTCAATTTGGTTAGGTTAGGGGGAAAAAAAAAAAATAAATAAATAAATACTACTTACTGGTTTCACTTGTTCAACTAGAGGCAGTCCTCGACTTTTCATGACATAAAATTGGAGTTTGTTGAATTCTGTAGCTACTCTTTCAATAAGCTGCCCATTTAGGCTAAAGAAAGAAACAAAAAAAAATAATCGGCCATTACATTATCTTTTTTTAATGTTTGCTTTAATTCAGACTCATGCAAAAATGTCAAGCAATGAACCCTTTAAGTTTATTTCAGCAAAATGCTCCAAAAAGTATTTAACTTACTCAGTCCCAGGAGTGGCTTCTAATTTTGAAGACAATCCAAGAAGTTGTTCAATTTTTTCCACAGACTGCACAATATTTATTAATCTTTGCAAACTGGCCTACAAATAGAAATATTAAAACAAATTATTTTCTGTAAAATTAAATTAAAATGCTAGATATATTTTGTAAGACACAAGAACTTGTCTGAAGCTTCTATTTTAAAATGTCAGATATACAAAAGGACTTAATTATCTGCAGTAGGTAGCTTACAATTCATAGTGAAGAAAATGAAATTGAAAAATAACCATATTTATTTGGTATGTCTTAAAACTTTCACTGGAAAATTAATGCCATATTTTAAAAACAAATGACAAAAAGACAAAAAAATTGACAAAAAGAAAAAAAAAAAATCGAAGTTTTTATCTTTTAGCATAGAGGTTCTACAATGTAATGCATGTGGTTGTTCAAGAACAGAGAGAGGTTGAGAACATATTTTTAGCTTTGAAAATGTCCTCTCTATCTACACACTATCAGTTACTCAACTGATAGTATTCAGATGACTTTATAAAGTCCTTTTTATTACTAAAACAGTTGTCTCTGTTTCTTTATTGCATTTTTATTTGATACTAGAATAAATTCTAAGGAGCCAGGCAAATCTACCTAGGTTTCACCTAAATGGATCTTCAAGATAAACTGACTAAAAATGTAAATGACGGAACAGTATTTATTTATTTTTTTATCAATAAATACTGTTCCGTCATTTACTTTTTTTAGCCGGTTTATCCTCTAGATCCGTTTAGGTGAAACCTAGCTGGGTTCACCTGGCTCCTTATTCTAGTTTATTGCTCTACTTACATTTTAGTCCTTCTATTCGTTGGGGTTTTTCTTTAAATTAAGGTCTTTAAGCACTTGGCGATTTGTTTCGTCTTGCTCTGAACTACTATTAACATAATATAACTAGCAGCATGGCCCGGCATTGCCCGTGCTTGATTCAAAAATTGTCCGACTCATACAGCAATTATTAATTTCACTTGACTTAAAATATTTTTGCCCTTCCTTGCCTTTAAAGGAGTGCCCTTTGCTGTGCTGATGTTGCTACATGCCTTACTTCTTACACTGCGAATTTTTTCTAAGCTCTATACTAAACATTAAATCTGTTATGAAAAAAGAACTAAACAAAATTAACATAAAATGATCAGCTTTAAAAAAGGACTTGTAACTAGAAAAACTGAATGAAAAAAGAATGTTAACAACAAATACTTTTTCACACCCAACCCAGTTCTGAGGAATCAGAATCAACGTTGAGTTTAAGCAAGCGAATGAGCCAATTGGAGTAAAGTGCCATGCAGATTTAAATTTTTCCCACTTGTGACGAATGCAGCTATAAATTTTTTTGCATGCTAGCATGCTAGTTAGCATTCGTGTCAGTGAGTTGTTGGCTCTCACACTGGCCAATAGAATCTTCCTGCCTATTCGTGGCAGTATAGGCTCTCACTCTGGCCAATAGAAAATGGCTGCAAACTACATGAAAACTGCCGTAGAAGCATGAAAAAAATCAATTATTTCCATTATCGATGGGAGTTGGGAAATGAAAAGTCAGTCTTGGCCTTCCCACTGACTTGGAGCATGTGCATGTAAATTTTGGTGCAAATCCGTCGAAAATTGCAGCCATGCATTTGTTACACACACATCCTACCTTTTATAGATAGAGATAGGGAACCCACTTGACATTAAGCAAGCTGACACCCTGACCAGTCCACCACTGCTAGTACATACAAAATTGTATAGAGAGAAAGTCCTTTACTTTTATACCATTGATTGCCAGGACACTTAGCAGACAAAGTGGGGGTTTTCAATGATCGCAACAGGCTGGGAACTAACTATATAAGTCTATTTGATGATCAAGTGGACAAAATTAATTAACAAGAAACATATTCAGCTTGGCAAGTCAACAGTTAAAGTGAAATGAATTTAACCAAAAACATTTCATTTGTCAATGAATGTAGTTTTAAATAATTAAAGTTCTTTCCTCTCAGAATTTGGTAGCTTTGAGAAAATCTAAATTGATTAAATTATTTACATTTTCAAATGGTTATTAGTATGGTAAGAAGAATAGTTGAACTGAGTTCAAATTACAATTGAAGCTGTTACACTCACTTCTGTACAAATGGCCTTAGGAAGGCAAAAATCCATCTATTTTTTTTCTTCAGTTACTGGTTAAATAACAGAGCAGGACTGGTTTCTGTAATTTGAGTAACAACTAAGAGAAGGAACCATTGAATTTTAAACCATGGAGAAGGTGACTGAAAACCACTCAACTATCATTCCAAGAAATGAAAGCAATTCATTGATAAGAAAGACAAAAATAATCAGTGGAGGATCATGGCCACCTATGGGCCTCAAGGGCCTGGCCAAAAAAAAAAAAAAAAAAAAAAAAAAAAAATTAAAAACTTGTCTTTATTTTTTATTTTGGTTATTTGAAATATATTTTGCTAAGTAGTTTTAGTTTAATAAAAGTTTTGCTGACTTGGCCAATATTGAGAATGTATAAAAAAGCAAAACTTGTAACATGAGGGTTGGCTGGAAAGTTCATAGACTGACCAGCTGTTGTATTCTGGTACACATGCCTGTCTTGTAGTCTACTAACTGGTGTGTCTACTTACATTTATATCTTGGTCAGCTTACAAACTTTCTAGTTGACTTTCGTATTTAATTAAAGACAGAAATTTTTGACAAGGTTTAAATATTTACCACGTTTAGTAGTTAAAGACAAACATCTTCAGCAAAGAATGGCAAAACAAAAAAAAATCATTATTATTTTTGAAATCGATAATTAAATACTTAAAGTATAATTATGAAACCTTTCTTTTGCATAAGCAAGACTAATGAATTTCTACTGCATTCTTCTAACATTGCAAATATGCAACATGAAAGATCCTCAGATTTCGTTAACTACTACTACTAATTATAATAAAAATTGAAATCAAATCCAAGTAGTTAAATTTATTAATGATTTCAATGGCAATAGAATCATTTGAGGTTTTCATGTAACCTGATATTAACAAGAGATAGTAACTTGGTATTGTCATAGAATAAACAGAATAAATGTTTATTGGTTTTCTTCATTTTATGTACAAGAAAAGGTTCAGATGTTATTGTTTAATTTTCAAATACCTTTAAACACAGCATTATAGAGTTTGTCTATTATAAGGTCATGTATTAGGTGACATTCAAGACAAATTCTTCAATGGGCAAAATGTATCTATCAGCTGTCAAATACATTTATCGATCGATTATTTTTTTTTTATGGCTCAACCCTTTGCAGGTTATTTAAAGCCAGAAAATATTTTTAGATTGTAAGAATTTTTTTTTTTTTTTTGAGATAATGATTTAGTGATAAAAGTCTTAGTAATTAACCCACGGCCGCATGGAGTGGGGGGAGTGAGAAGAGGTAGATTCATACTTCTCTCAAGGGTATTTGTGTGTAAGTGAATATAACGAACCCAACTGGAATTGGAACTTGTCTCTCTGATTAACAATTCTGAGGCATTATCCATTACACCACTCAGACACCTGGTATTCCCAAGCAGTCACTCATCTAGGTACTGACCAGGCTTGACATTGCTTAACTTCGGTGATTGTATGGGAACTGGTATTTCAATGTGATATGGTTGTAAACCTCAGTTAAATTTGAAATCCCAGTTGCCAAACTGAATACTTTTGAGTTTCTTGATTTTCTGAAAGCTTCATTAATCTGAATTTCCTTTTTAGTTTACACTATCAGATACTGAAAGGGTTAAAGGATAGCTTGATAGGTATACTGTGAGAGATGTGACACAAAGAGATGCTGGAAGAGTTAAGAGATAGCCTGATAAACATACCAAGAGACAAGGCAGGATTTTATTAAAATTTGGAAAGTTTGTTTTCTTTTGTTAATAAACCATAAAAACGGGGAATAGGGCTGACTTGAAGTAAAACAGCTTTATTATTTTGAGGAATCTATCCAAAAAAGCTATCTGGATAAGTTAAACCCATGAGGGATGGAGAGAGATGGTGTAATAACATTCAAGTCAACAGAGACTTTTACCAAGACAAGGCCTAAATAATCACTATTTAAAGTGCAGGATATTGATTTTCCCACAGACTGTAATCCAAGAAGGGAAGTCAATCAAAAGGATAAAGAAAATGATGGTCTCCGATTCCTTGTATACATGAAAACCATCTGGTAAATTTCTGGAAATTCCTCGCCCTAGCTTTGCCCAGAATCTAGGGCGAGGGATTTTGCTGACAAGAAGTGAACTGATAATAGTTATAGAATTGATTTATATCCCTTATCAAAAAAAGAGGGAAAGGGTAAATTGCTAAAGAAATGAAATTTCTTTAGATAAGAGCCGAGCCCTGAGTGTCACTGGTTAAAACTGCTAAGAAAATTGTCATGGGGACACCTGGTGAATGTCCGACTGAGAGAATAGGGTTTGGGTCAGGGACTCCTGTTGAATATTTTGAGCAATAATTAAAATTAATGATTATAAGTAATCTCCACCTGTTCCCCTATTCAGTCTAAAAATTGAGTTTGTCAAAATAACCACCGAAGTGAAGGGCTCAGGTGAAACACCAGATGGATGGAGGAATTATCTACAACCCTTTGGTAGTATTGGTATGAGATACCAATGTGAGAAGGAGGGAGTTAAGGGGGATTGAGATTCAGCTGCCACCACTACTCTTAGGAAGAGGGATCTCCCCTAAAATTGAGCATGCATTCTTTGTAGGGATTAGGGGATTACCGAGACCCAAGGCCCTGTCAGATTCCACACTGGTTTTGGATCGAGGTCCATATAAACAGGAAGTGAAAGCAACCAACAAGACAGTTGTTCCAGATGCCAGGTGAGAGATGACTGCTTCACCTGATCTCACATGACTTTCTGCCTGAAGAAGACCTCTGAGCTGTGTTCCAGGAGACTTGTCTAGACTTAATCATGACGAACAAAGCGTCACAAAATATTTGAAGAGAGAAGGACCGATAACTTATATTTCCATGTGAAGAATATATATTCCTGCCTGAAGAACTGATAATTGTCTTACCAGCTCTGTACAAGAAACATTATATAAAACATTTTCTTTTATACAATTTACTTTTTTTTTTTTTACTTTTGACTTCACTCTGTCTGGACTAAACCAATTCAATAATTCCTGTTGACCATTTGATCTGCACCAACCTTGTGATCTAAATCAAAGATATTCATCATCGAAAGTTTAGATCAAGGACCAACTTAATAAAAAAATATCCAAATATTGGACAACTTTTGTCTTTATTTTCACCCAAAATTAAAGCAAACATACAAACATTACAAGGGCTCATGATCAGACATAACAGACATTCATTTTCTGTTATATTTAACAATATGTTTAAATAATGATAATACACTAAATATATATATATATATATATATATATATATATATATATATATATATATATATATATATATATATATATATATATATTATATATATATATATATATATATATATATATATATATATATATATATATATATATTATATATATATATATATATATATATATATATATATATATATATATATATATATATATATATATATATATATATATATATATATATATATATATATATATATATATATTATATATATATATATATATATTATATTATATATATATATATATATATATATATATTATATATATATATATATATATATATATTATATATATATATATATATATTATATATATATATATATATATATATATTATATATATATATATATATATATATATATATATATATATATATATATATATTATATATATTATATTATATATATATATATATTATATTATATATATATATATATATATATATATATATATTATATATATATATATATATATATATATATATATGTATGTATGTATGTATATGTGTGTGTGCGTGGGGGGGTGCCATTTATGATTATGTGAATGAGAGATTATTCTACTTACCTTTTTCTCCTTAATTTTCTGCCGGTGTTTAAGTTTCTCCTCTACGGCTTCAATCGCATTCTCCATGGCAGAGGTGACACTCTATACAAGAAAATATAACCATTCCATTATGTCAAAAGAGGCCATCCAGGGTGGGGGTGATAAAACCTGTGAGTGTTAAATTATCTAAGCTCTCTTTCCTCATTATCTATGTCTGAAATTTCAGTTGTCACTTAAGAAAAATTTCCCAGAAGCAATCAACATAAAAAAAAAAAGAGTAGGATGATGATTATGATAAAGGTAGGTTCAAAATAATACAGCTGTTTTACTTCAAGTCAGCCCTATTCCCATTTTTTATGGTTTATTCACAAAAAAAAAAAAAAAAACTTTCTAAATTTTAAATAAAATCCTGCCTTGTCTCTTGGTATGTTTATCGGGCTATCTCTTAACACTTCATGTCAGCAGTATGAAAGTGGAAGATGAAACTTCCTGCTAATAACTCATGATTCTCTAGGCTCAGTTACAGCAAGCTGTATGGCAAAATAGCATCTGACATGAAAATACATATAAAGAATTTATCAATGCAGAAAATTTTTTTCATCCATTGGCAGATATCAGTGCTTGCTAAATTTATATGGAGACCAAACAGTGTATGTGAACACAGTTAAAAAATGAGTTTCTACAGTGATGTAGGTGACAAACCATGTTCCAAGTGACTGCACAGCTGTTCATGCATAAAATGAAGATTGCCTAGAAAAGGCATAACCATTGGTAAAGACTGTAAATTAATTAGAGTTTTGGAGCAAAAAACTTGCTCAATTCAATAGTGTTATTCTGCTCCTTACAAATAAATAGGATGCATTTGCTTTCAGAGCATCTCTTAGTATAAACAATTTTCTATTAATTTATGATGTCCAAAGAGAAATTTAATTATGAAACATAATGATTATACCTTGCCAAGTTTGACAATGAGATAACAGGTTTACTATTACTACTTGGGCATTTAAGGCAGTTATGGGATAATGGCTGCCCAAGTGATCATTCACCTCAACAGTCTCCATTTTCTCAACCAGTAATTTTTAGTTATATTATGGTGAGATACAGGGAGAAGTGGATTCATGCCTTTCTCAAGGGCATTAGCATGAAATAACCAATAAATAGCATCAGTCAGAATGTGAAATTAAGGAGCAAAGTTAATTTTCCATAATAACTATTGTATCATCAGAATACAATCATGGGTCCCACAACTGTCGTAAGGATACCACATGTACTGCAACCATAGCTGCAGTGGTGTGTCTTGGGAAAGGTAGCCCGATGGATCCCAACTCTCTTTGGGATGGTTTGAATTCAGAGTTTTCTTTCTCCTAGAGGGTGCCAACCAAGGCTATAGGACTACATCTGCCTTGCTATTTACCAAAAGCCGAGACGGGAGAAGGGATGGATTTATACCTCCTCCCCAAGGCATTTGTATGTAAGTTAAAACAACAAACCTGACTGGAATTTGAACTTGGCTCTCTTATTCCGAACTGATATCCATGACACTAAACAAATGTTGGGCTAAAAAAATAAATTTCTAAAATATGTATAAAAATATAGATTAGATATAAGAAGTTAAAACATATTCTGGTGACAGAAGACGACAGATGTGAACTTTGCTTAAGTGGGATATCTTTAGTGGGTGGTATGGTATTGAGTTAAATTTTAGATGTTTTTCATTTGGTATGTGTTTTTGTTTTAGCAGTTTAAGGGCCAAAGTACCAGTCAGTGAAAAGAATAACAAAAATATGTTAAATCAGAATATTATTGCAAACATACTTAACATAAAAGTATACAAAACGAAAACAGGTCTACCACCAAAAACAAAAGAAAAGAAAAAAAAAAAACCCCAACCCCTTTGAACTACCCCCCACCCGCAAAAAAACACTTGAAGCACAGGTTTTATTTGTCATGAAGTTTTTCCAAATTTCACTTCCGTTTAATCCCATTTTATAGCCATATTCTATCTTTTTGCACTATTTCCCAAATTGTTTCCAATTTTATTTTAGCATTCCAATCAGTTAACCTTAAAAAATTATTTACCAAAACTTCTTCTTTAAACTGTCCAAGAGGCACGGTCAGATTGTTGATAGCTTTGTCCATACCAACCTAAACGACAAATACAAAAATTCTCATTTTAAAATTGAAAAAACAAATAAAATTTAAAAAAAAAATTAAACATTCATAATATCTTCATCAATTGTAGCTAAAATTTAATTGGTAATGATTGTTGGACAAAACAGTAGTTTGTGAGTCTTGAGTAGAGGTTCTAATCCCTTCTCTTTACTAAAGTTCAACCAATACAAAATTCAAGACCCACACAAGGTAGAGGGTTACCATGATAGTAATATGAAAATGGTAAGTGAAGATTACAAGGATATAGCAGATGGATAAGGATTGAGTCTACACTTGAAGAGGTTAAGGTTACAGGGTTTGGAGAAGCATCCACATCTATTTGTTCTTAAGAAACTTTTTGAGTGGAACATCCTTTTTGTTAAAGGAGTGTGTAGAGAATGAGGGTGTTTCAATACTGTGGGCGTAGTAAGGTGGATCTTGTCTGTAAAGGTCTGAGCTGGTGACAATAAAGAATGGAGTTTGTCTGAATATTTACCATGAGAATAGTGACAGGTATAGTGATAGGTTTGCAATATTGTGACTGTGGAGAAAGGGGGTGTAGAGCGGAAAGTCAGTCATCCCCAACAAGGCTATGTAAACGATTTTGTCAAGGCTGGAATGTGAGGTTGGGTAGCTCCAGCTCAGCAATATTCTATTTGATTGACTGATTTGTTTTTATGGTTTATCAACCTTTTTATCAGTTATTTAAAGCCAGAAAATATTTTTAGATGGCTAGAATTTTTTGGAGATAATAAGTCTACCTTTCCCCAAGAATGGCCTAATTTGACTTGTAAAGCTAAATCATGGCAGAAGGGTCAGGTACTTTCCGAGGTGGTACAAAGAGCATCTTTAGTGATGAATAATTGGTCGGGGGTGAACTTGGTAAGACATAGAGGAGTTCCGAGATAGCTGTGGTAGAGATTTGCCAGTTAAATTCAGGATTTCAAGTCTTAAACAATTATTACTCGCTGGATCTATGGAAATACTTCCATGGTGACAGCTGAGCAAATTATCAAGTCTGATTATTCTTGCAAAGCGTAATGGTCATACCAACAAATGAGCAGAGTAATAGACTGCATCCTCCCCAGAAAATAAAAGATTTAAAAAAGGTTGTAGCTTATATAATAGTATATAGGATGAGTCAAAAAAATAGTGCCCATATTCTAAGAAGTCAATTGACAGTGGTAAAAACTAACAGTCACTACTTTTGATCCACCTTGTAGATAATGATATTAGATGTTCCCTTATATGGAAGCATTTAGCATTCATTGACTGAACAGCCAGTTACTTTCTGGCCATCAGGCTGAGATTAAAGCAGGGCTGTGGTGTTGGAAGCAATTAAGGGGGTCACTGAAGTCTGTAAAACTATACTCAAGCTGAATTTATACTTTATATAAAAAAAGTCTTACATTGCTGGTGTTCCCAGGTCCACCCTGACCTGGGGTGGTAGCACTTGTTAGGGTCCCAGCTATGGGCAAATAGTTAACCATTACCAGCAATACATTTTTGAAAAAAAAAAGTATTACCAGCAATACATTTTTGAAGGAAAAATATTACCAGAAACAGATTTTTGACAAAACAAAATATTATCAGCAATAAAAATTTTTGTCGGCATTAAATAACCCATTGAGGTTGATATGCTGTAAACCAAACCCAGTATTGATCCTTCCTAAACTTTTGTTTGAAGTTGTATGGAATGTCAACTTCTTGATTATTTTCTCTTCAAATTACAGGTGATAAAGGATAACTTGATTATCTGATTTTGCATCATGTCAAAACACTTGTTGATTTTTAGATGATAACACAGGGCTGGCTTGAATAGCAGATAAGCCAAGATGAAACCATATTGCAGTTCCAGTTCTGGAAATTATCTTATGAAAATATTAACAGAAGAACAATGAAAAAGACCCAAGAAGTCCAATGTACAAGATAGCTGATGACCAATTCAAAACTAACCTTTACATCCAGACTTGGCAAGCACTTAACATAAAAGACAGTATTATGAACATCATTTTTCAAATTCGCAGTATTTAAATAAATGTCAATATGTCTTACAGATTTTTGTATTTTACTATTGTTCATCCAGTACAAGGCCTAAGAGCCACTCAAGGTCAAGAGTTACTAAATGAGGTTGTTGTAAGGGCATTATAAGGAGGGAGCAAGAGGATCAGATTACGAGTATATGTAGGATAGATAATGACACTAGACCAAGAGGTTAAAATTGTAGCGATCAGGGAAGCATCATCTCGGAAGTTTGTTCCACAATGCAAAAGTTCTGGGGGAGAAGCTGTTTAAGTGACACTTCCTCCTCACCAATGGAATATGAATGGAATGAAGCTGAGTGCACGGCCTGGCTGGTTGTAGCTGTGAATATTTGGACTGGTGGAACCAAGGAATGTAGTTCATTTGAACCTTTGCCATGAAAATAGTGACAATGTTTTGTCTGGAAAAAATGGGTTGTAAGGTGGAAAACAATTCATCACCCACAAACACTTGTATAATAAGAAATCAGTCTTGAATGTAAAGTCATTAGTTCTTTTATTCTGCATGTGGTTTTCAGTATTAGTAATTTATTCTTAAAAACTATTTGGGGAAACATTAGTGATACAATACTAATAATTTTAATATAGCATTGCATTACCAGAGATTATACTATAGAAATGCATTGCAAGTCAGGAAGAAGGGTTTGTCCGATCAGGATTTGAAATGTTAATTACAGAATAGATGTGTAATATATAAGTTCATTGCGAATGATGGTACCATAGATATAGATAAAAAAAATCAGAAACATACCATCAGAAACTCAAGAACTGATTGAACTGGGCTATGATACATAAATTCAAATGTTGTACATCACCAAAATTTTAACACGCATTTATTTTTCTTAGGCTCTGAAGAAAATTTGATATTGTATTTAATCATTTCATGCCAAGCAAGGCAATAAAACCAATAAGATGTAAGTAGTTAGTGAGTGTGAAAGAACATGAAAAAAAAAAATATCAAGTACAGAGAACAATAAAAGAACAAGAATTAACAAGATAATGATTTCATTAATTTTCAAAAAAAGTCAACTGAAAAGCAAGAAAATGGAAGAGGTTTCTCAAGTTTTCTTAAATGTTTGCATGCAACCAAACAAGCTTTTTGATAATGTCTAAGGAAAGTCAGTTGGTACAAAAACAGAAAATAATTTTGAAAAACAAATGCACCATCTTTAAGCCGATTTTTTTTACCTCCCAATTCCATATATAAATAAAAGATAGAACATTGTATTTTGTAGGCAGAATGATTCATTACTTACCAAGTTAGTAGAGAGATTAACAAAATCTGCATAATCCTTGTTAATCAGTTCTATCATGGCACTTCGCAAGATTTTCAGGTAGACATGGAGATCATCACGAAGTGTTTCTAGTGGCACACGTCTGCGACAGTCCATCACAAATGTGTCCACATTAAAATCATTCTGCAAAGACAAAAAAAAAAAGAAGTTAAAAATATTATATTTATATATATATATATATATATATATATATATATATAACACACACACAGAAAAAAACATGATACTTAACATTTCCAATAAGCAAAATACTTTGCTGTAAAATTAATTTAAATTTACTGGATGGAGTATTTTGTTTTTTTTTTTGTTTTTTTAATAAAATCGTCGTTTACTGCCCTTTTTTAGTCATCTTTCATCGTAATTCTCTTTATTAAAAAATCTTCCAAAAATATACTTTTCTGAAACTTTATTTGTGGAATATTAGCTGATTTAAAGTATAACTAATCTGATTTCAAACAAATATTAAAATATCACAGAAATGTATTTTTAACCAAGCAGCACTTGTTTATGTTGACAGCTTTTTGACAACTCGATGACAGATAGCTTTTTATCTAATGCTATTCTACAGTGGCTTTACCTGCAAAAAAAAATAATTGAAAAACAATGTGAGCACCTTTTAAGTACTCTATAATCTTAAAATTTAAGAAAATATATGCCGTAATCAAAGGTTTCATTGAATTTTAGATATTTTCTGTCTTTAAATTTACTGTAAGAAAATAAGAGAGATAACCCCCTCTTATTTTCTGATAATGTCATGTATGATCGACCGCATCTGCAAAAATTGGCACATTTATATGTATACAAAAAATTCAAAGTTCTTTTAAAAATATTGGTGTCTGATGATTTATACTATGCTTTTCCATTTATGATTAGTAAATTTAGTTTTTAGTTAATAATCATGTATAAAGGTGAAATTAATACAGATTTTTAAGAGAATTTAAGACAAATTATTCTAATCAAAATTTAGAAAAATGAAAACAATTCTTGTAAAACTCCATTATTCATTGAAAATAAACTTTTTCTTCAACAGTAAGGTTCACCCTTTACAAGATCCCCCACTACATTTATTTTCTTTATTTTCCCCTACCACATTTATTTTCTTTATCCCCCGCCACGTGTTTATTTTCTTTATATCCCCCCCCACGTTTATTTTCTTTATTTCCCCCTCCTTACATTTATTTATTTTTGTAACTTCTGTTTTTCATAAATGTCCAACAGGAATTACATACATGTATTTATTTACTAAGTGAAATTTAGTTTGCCACAAAGCCACAAATACTGAGCATCTAGTAAAGATCAAATTTATTACTTGATATAAAATACAAACTAACGATGATTGTCTCAATGAACCTAAAGGCAAATATATTTGGAATAAACAAATATGCAAACTAAAATTAAAAATCCATTCCATTTTTCAAAGACATTTCTAATTCTTGTAGCAGAGCAAAAAACAATGAAAGCACACATCCTGGGTAACACTTATTTAAATTTATCCTCTGAGCAATAGACAAGGCACTTGGGTTACAGCTTTTATCCTTGGGCCCTGGGTAAAATGAATGCTGCCAAACACCAACAATAATTTCCAATGTATTTTAAATATTTATAGAGAATAAAAATGTGTAAAATTGTGCTTTCTTCTCTGGCTTGTTAACAAATACTGCAAGACTTTCCCTTTTTAGTCAATTCCTTCACAACATGTCTTCTACTCAATATATCGCTTCCTTATACCCTCCTTAAAAAAAAAAAAAATCTCATTGATCACCAAAATTTACATATATGAAAAAATACTCTTGTGAGAGAGTATCCAACTCTGGGTGGTCCTGTCTGCATTCTCGGAATGTGGTTTGGGCCCTATCTCCAGCTGGAGAAAAATTGGTCAGAAGTACAGGCGAAGGTTGACACGTTGGTAGAGACTTGGTGCCGAAGGAGGTTGTCCTTGAAAGACAGGGTTGAGGCATGTGCCACTTACATCTTTCCTCTTGTCCTTTACTGCTTGTTTGTACTTCCTTTCTGTAAGGAATGTAAGAAGGTGATCGAGCATTTGCTCTCTTTGGTCTTGTGGGCAGAACACAAGCATCACATTGACAGCGAAGCTTGTGCCCAACGTTTGTGTCATGGGGGGCTGGGGATGCTGTATTTGGAGAGTCACAAACTTTCTTCAAGGCTGGCTTTCCTATGCCATGCATTGACGGGGGACTAGATTTTGGTGAAGAGTATAGGGGATGCTTTCCCTTACCTTACTATCACTCCTCCTGTTGTAGGCCCTGGGATCAATCGGGTTTCCTCCTTGAATGTCGATCAGCCTTGAGGGTCATTTCCTGGATCAGGACCTTTCTTGGCCTAGGAGAGTCATCTATCATGAATTAGTGGAGGGGGTTGTGAAGGATCCACTATGCACCTGGCTTGGCTTGCCAGCAGATGAGTTTCACTCATTTTGGTCTTGGGTGCCAGTGTCAGATTAACTCAGCAACCCAAAGTCTTCACTTACCTGGCGACTGATTCAGAATAGGCTATCTCTCAATGAGAAGGCCTTCATATGGAGCTTGGCAGATTTGCCAGACAGCGAATGGTATGACCTTGATTTAGAGGAAATGGTAGTGTCCCCTATGGAACTTTGTTGGTGAGTTGACAGGTTGTATCGCTCCCAAAAAGCTTGTGCTCATTGATTGCACATACGCGTGTAACAATGTGTTGCCCCCATATTCTGGGGTGAAATGGATGGTGTTTCTATCTCTGCTAGCCAAGGATGGTTAGAATAGTGAATTGGACGCCGTGGAAAAAGGAAATCTTGTGATTTGAATGCTATTCTCATCAGGATCTGGTCAGATTCTTTGAGCATCAGTTTAGGATAAAGATTAGATTTGATACAAAGTGTTTGCTATCGACAGATTTTAGCAAACGGTGGATGACTGTGGTGAGGCTGGTTTGTGTGAATGGAGCTAGCCTTGATTTTCTTTTTTAAGTTTCCCTAAGTCACATTTGGGCGGTTTCCTGTGGCACCCTCCTCTGGTTAGGATAGACCTTTCTTGTGTACCTAGTTAATATGAGTAAGTGTTGTTCCTGGCCTGTTCCCAGCTTCTTCTTTGGTTTATGGTCCAAGCCTAGATTCCCAACCTCCCCAGTTTGTTTTTGGTTTCCTTTTTTCATCTTGACTGGGTCAATTTATTTTCCCATGTTTGTATTTATCTTTCCCCCTCCCTTAGTGACAGGGCCTCTTGATTTTGTCTAAAACAGAATAGAGTAGTCTCTCTCATTTCTTTTGAGGGTTGGATGGTCCTACTAACATCACTTATTTTTAGTTTGTATGTTTTGTTATATTTTAGTTTGGTTTTGGGTTCATAGTAGGTAGGCTTTCCTACCGCCTGGTCAATACTCCTCCTACCTCTCATGAACAAGAGGCTCACTCCTTGTTTCTTGTTTAGGAAAGGGGTTCCAGGAACACCCCCCCCACCTCAGTACTAGTATTGCTGTGATTCTCCTGTGATGTGTGCAGTCTGTGGCAATGCCTATTTATTCTGAGGTTACTAGGTTGACAGTTTTCTGGTTGCTGTTCCCAACCAGTAGTAAGGAACCCTAATTCTTGCATAGCACTTTAAGCGGCTGCTCTGATCAACAGTTGTATAATACCAGGGTGCCTGTAGTGCAAGGTCATGCATAGAAGGGTATCCCTGCATTCACCTATGGTCAGCAACCCTGAGGCCACATTATGTTGCAGGCTGTGCTGGTTTTTTTCTCCCCACGTCACAGTCAATGACCGTCTGCTACTTCTATTTCAGGCCTTCTCTTTTTTACTTCTAAATCACCAAACATGACAAATAACAATCAAAGAAGCAAACCCAAAACAGCGCTTAAAAAAATCACCTAAACCCTTTAACATTTCCTTCTCTAATGTCAGTGGCATTTGAACCAACTACAGAAGTGTGGAATCGTTCCTCATTGAGAAGTCTTCCAATATACTAGCTCTCTGCGAGACCAACCTCAACTCCTTTATCCCCTCCTCTGACCTCTCGATCCCCGGTTACCTTCCTCTCCTTAGGAAAGGCTCTCAAACCCACATGCACAGCCCTGGAGTATATGTCAAACACCATATCCCACTGGCTAGAGAGCTCTCTCTCGAATTTCCAGACCACTTATACTTGTGTCTCTGTCTATCTCTCCTCAATGCTGTAAGCTACCTCTTCTTCCACTATCACTCTCCATCCTCCCAAAACTGTGGTATACTCAAAAGCATTTCCGGCAATATAGACAAGGCTATCTCTCTCCATCTGTTTGCTCATATATTCGTGTTCGGGGACTTTAACGCCCACCATACCAAGTGGCTTAAAAACTCTATAACTGACCTGGCTGGTATACAAACCCTTAACTTTTCTATTTTTCAATCCCTCACGCAAATAGTTGACTTTCCCACACGTTTCCCAAACAACCTGAGTGGTAAGGCTTCCCTTCTCAATCTCTATTTCACCTCCATCCCAGAGTCTTGTCGCACCTCACAGCTCTGCCCTCTAGGCAACTCTGATCATGCTGTAGTGTGTCGACATCTCCTTCTACTCCTCCACCAGCAAAGAAGCTCCTACCAACAGAACATCTTTCTGTTATCAACGAGCAGACTGGGACTTGTTCCGGGATTTCCTTCGTGATGTCCCCTGGAATGTGGTCTTTAAGCTCCCCATTCAAGAATGCGTTTCCAGGGTCTCCTCCTGGGTAAAAGCTGGAATAGAGGCTTTCATCTCCGCTAGGAAATATAAGGTTAAACCATACTCTTCCCCTTGGTTCTCTGCTGCTTGCTCAGCTGCCATTGCCCATAGGAATCACTTCTTCCACCTATAACATAGTGACATGTCAGATCGCAACAGATGTCTCTTTGTCTCAGCCTGTGATGAGTGCAAGTGCGTTCTGAATGAAGCAAAGTAACTATTTGCTGATAGAATGAAACAATGTATTGCATCTTGCAAATTTTGCTCTAAGGATTATTGGCATCTCTGCAAGAGCATACTTAACAACAGCAAACCTTCAATACCTGCTTTGTTCAACCAATTTGATGTCCTGACCTCCTCAACTGATAAGGCTGAGTTCTTTGCTCAGAAATTCACTTCCAACTCAACACTAGACTCATCTGGTGTACCCACACCAGATTTCCCCCCTAGAACTGAGGCTCTATTGAGTGAGTCGGACATAACTCTGTCGTTAGTATTAGGCATCATCTCAAAATTAGACTCCCACAAAGCTAGCAGTGGCGACAGGATACCAGCCATTGTCCTGAAGAAATGTTCTCCTGAACTGGCTCCTGCCCTCCCCAAATTATATAACTACTGCCTCAATAAATCTTGCTTTCCAGCCTATTGGAAGTCTTCATCTATGGTACCTGTCTTTAAGAACTCTGGAGACCCTTCTAACCCATCTAACTACCATCCTATCACTCTTCAGCAAAGTCTTTGAAGCTTTAATCAACACCAAAGTGGTTAATAACCTTATATCCCATGATCTTCTCTCTGATAAGCAATATGGTTTTCACTTTGCCCATTCTACAGCCGATGTGCTCACGGCCATAACTGAATTTGTTTACCAAGCACTCCACAATAACGGAGAAGCTTGTGCCGTGGCCCTAGATATCTCTAAAGTGTTTGATAGGGTCTGGTATGATGGCCTCCTTCATAAGATTAAGGAATACGGAATTTCAGGTTGATTATTTGACTTAATATGATCATTCCTGTCAAACTGTGTAATGAAGGTCGTCCTTAACGGATTTTCCTCCAGTTCCTTTCCCATGAATGTAGGTGTTCCCCAAGGCTCTATCCTAGGCCCTACTCTGTTCCTTATCTTCATTAATGATCTTCCCAATGTCATCTGTCCCCAAGTAGGCATGATGACACCTATTTACTCCTGCTTCAATAGCAAGTCTGGTATCACTGACAAAACTAACCTGGCCGCTAGTCCCCCCCCCCAAAAAAACAACCTCCAATCGGTTGTTGTCTGGGGCAGAAATTGGCTGGTTAACTTTAATGTCTCTAAAACAAAACTTCTCTCTATTACTCACCAGAGGGAACTATCCCTTTCCACCTATTAGAATGCTTGATGCTCAACTCCATGAGAGCACCCCTTTGCGATTGCTAGGTCTCACACTGCTCGCTGACCTGAGATGGAACAAATACATTGAATCAATAGCTTCATCCACTGCAAGGAAAGTTGGTTCCCTGTGTTGCACCAAAAAGTTTTTCTCACCCAAGTCCATCTGACAAATTTATAAATCAACAATTCGCCCTTGCATGGAATACCGCTGCCATATATGGTCTGGTGCCCCTGCTGTTCACTTTAAGGTCCTCGTCAAGATCCAGAGATGGATAAGCAATGTGGTTGGTCCAAATTTGGTATCTTGTCTACAGTTGCTCTGTCACAGACATGCTGTCACCTCCCTCTGTCTTTTCTACAAATACTTTCACAGTAACTGCTCCGACAAGTTACTTTCGCTAGTTCTCAGACAGCATAAATTTAAGCGTGCTACTAGGCTGGCATCACAGTCCTACCCTTTCACTGTCAAAACGGTTAAATGTGGCTGTCTCTTCTACTCCAATGGCTTCATGTCTTGCAACTCCCTACTCCATTCATTGCTTATCATCAATAAATTTTTATATATAATTTTATATTCAAGAATTTTTTTGTCATGGGATGTTTTATAGGTTCCCTTATGTGTATGTGGTATTGTGGTATATAGAGGAATGAATGATAACAGATGAGTTTCTGTGGTGGTTGTGTGTAAATAAATTGTAATTAATGAATGGTCGTGAATCAGATTAGCTAGGTATTAGTGTCAACCAGCCTCAACTCATTCCCTCCTTTTGGCCTTGTGCCACAATTGCTGTATGTTAATGCAATAAATCTCGAGTATCCAACTTTGGGATCTACTTGTTTTAAATGTGTAACCTGCGAAGCTGTCATTTTTTACCTTTTTGGACAGTTGAGACGCGTTCGAATCTGTGGAAGTAAGTAATTTTCTTCTAGCATTGCAAAAAAAAAAAAAAAAAAAAAAAAATGCATGCAACCATGGGCTTCTTTTTCCCCTCTGCGGTAGTTTACTAGAACGTTATTTTTTTTAAAAATGCAATCAGATTTTATTTTATAAAAGTAAAACCTGGTAAATTTGTAATCAGAATAAAAAAAAAAATCTTTGATAAGCGAAAACACAAAACCTCAAATAATTTCCAATTCTCTAACTGGATCAGAGAATAATGTTTGAATTTAACTTTAACAATATTTAAGTTTTTAACAATGTAACTTATTTAACATTCAATAACATTTTTTTTTACTTTGTACACGCATGAGAAACAGCATATGACAATATTAAAATCGCAGTAACAGGTGTCTATGTATGTAGGTAAAACTACTAAAAGTATGAACAAAGCAATTTTAAAATATGTCGTTCAAAGTTGTAAAATTTTAAAGAAAGATGAAATGTCATTTTTTTCTAGTTCTTGATATTGGCGGCATAATATTTGAAGCAGACGAAATTTAACATTTAGTTAGTAAAATCAAAAGTCAAAAAACACTATATTTCGTTACATACTTTACGAACTTTTAATGAAATTTTAATTTCTAAAAGTTCGTAAACTAAAAACTAAACTAAAAAGTATATCAAGCAAGGAGATTTTATTTTATATTTAAAATTTAATAAATAAAAAAAAGTCTCTCTGATTTTTTTAAAAAACTTCAGTTCAAGACTCAAATGATAATGCTAGGTTTTTAGAAAAAGAAAAGTATATCTTCGACATAACAAAAAAAAGAAATAATGAAATTGTGGTTAATGTTTTTTCAGAGTAGTCTTTTAAAAATATTTTTTTAGTTAAGACACGTTGACGCAGAAACCAGTTTGCAGGTTTGTTATCATGGCTAACTGACTCGTTCATCAACGAAGTCGTTATCACAAACACAAATGCATACACTTCCACATATTTCAAATTTTTTTTGATTATATCCAAATATGAGCTGCTTTCAAATCTACTTTTTCAGTATTTTAAATTGGACAAGATAACAAGTAGATGTTTTAATGACCAGGAACAACATGTGGTAGCCGGAAAAAAAAAAAAATTCCGATGTTTGGTTACAGGTTTTAAACAAAAAACAAACTGTCCTTAATTTTTGCCAATTGCCATAACATTACCTAAATTTTGTTTACTTTATTTATCAACATTTCAGTCGCATCAAACTTTAGCAAACAAAAAAGTACGTAAATTTTAAACTGTTTAAAAACAAAACTGAGAGTTAAGTGATTTTCTTGTAAATAAAATAACTTCCACAATTAAAAGTACCGATAATTCACACTTTTACTAAAGAGCTTAAAATCAGTCCTAACTTATTTAATAAAGCCACGCTTCCCTTTTTAGGAGTCGGATATATTTACCTTCATAAAATCATCTTTGTCAAAGCACAGCGTGGCCGGCCCACTGGGGAGTGTCATCGGTTTAGTACTGTCTCCTGCCATTTTGAGTGTACCTCGGTTAAGTAATACAGAGGCCAAAATCCAACGTCTTTAAAGACTAAAGGTCCAGTGTTGACTTCATCTCCATACAGTTTATAAATGTGGAAAGCTTGTTGTTGACAAATTTCATCTCCTCCCAACAAACCTGTGATCTGGCAACTTTCACTACTTTCTCTCTCCTTTCATTGGAAACTTCGTTCAAGGGAGATTACTAGTTAGACGGTGTAAACCCGCAAAACATACCTGACAAAAATAAATAACTCCTCAAATAATATCAATTTAACTAAATTAGCTAAAAATTATACTGTCAAGATTAATAGTTGTGTAAAAATGAATTTTAACATAATAAGTTAATTATATGTGCTTAAAGTTTTCTTTAAAAAATTCCAAACACTAGATTCAATTACTGCTTTTTGCAGCAAATACAGCTAAGTTATTCATCTCAGAACAGTTTAGTGTAAAAAAACATGGCGTCTTAGTTACCACGATAAACATTTTCTGATTTTTACAAACACAAAGGAATGTGTTTTACATAATTAATTGTGAGGGTTTTCAATTTCTTTCATCTTTGGTAAGTGGATTTTATTGTCGTTTATTTTTCCGGCCAACAATATTTAGTTGAATTTAAATATTCAATAATGAGTAAAGAAACATGAAATTAAGCGACATAAAAAATTGTTCTTTTTTTATTTTATTCAAGCAAACTTTTAAAAATTATTTGTTAAATTTAGGATTTTCTTTTTCTATATTTCACTCAGTTTAAGGCGACTTTAAACATAAGGTTCATTAAATATGTATAATTGTTTTCATTCAATTATAATTTATTATAATCAACAAATATGAATTTCTAAGATCTTAATTTTTGGGGTGAATGGCTTACGAAGCGAAAATTTGTCTTAATTTCTGTTCTTTTATTGTTCTCTTTCCTTAATATTATTTTTTTTTCTCATATTATTTTATCACACTCATTAACCCCCTTGCGTGTTAGTGGCTTTATTATTTTGCTTAGGGTGAAATGATTTAAAAAAAAAAGAAGAATTTCGTATATACTTGTTGATTTACGAAAATTTCATTTTTTTTGGTCTATCTGAAGTTGAAAGAGAAACTGTAGTCCCGTATAAGCCCAGGATTTCAAGATAAAATTTCTCTTTAACGAAATATTTTTTGTATTTATTTTAAATGCATGTAAGTGCAAAAGAATTTTTATTTTTTACTTTCTTTGAAAGTTCATTTTCCATTTCATTTTTTTGTCGTAGTCAATGTGTTAAAAAATCTGCTCTTAGTAAGTACCACTAACTAAAAATGCCGGAAAATGCATTTTAAAGAATAAATTAAAAATATCTTTGAAGTTAAAATTTTTTGTTTTATTTGAAAGATAGTACCCGGAAGCTAACCCGTAAGAAAAATAAAAAATAAATTCCGTACTTAAAGGTTTCAGGCATTTTTTAAAACTGTCGTGTCACTCATCGAACCTCCATTAGAGACGAAAAATGGAAACAAATTTAAAAATCTCTTAAAAATACAATATTTATCCTCGAAATTTGTCTCGAAGCAAATTAGTAAATTTAAGCGTTAATTAATTGGATTTTGTAAAAGTAATGCTAACTTTCTGTTTAAGACATAGCGAAAACAACGCTTATTTACGCACAGTAGTTCATGTGCTGTCATCAAGGTCATGGGTCGACAGATAGTCTTCTTGTCTCCCCGAAAAAAAAAACAACTTATTTTTTTAATTTTTAAAAAATTTTTTTGCTTTCATTTCGAAAAAAACGCATCCATTCCTGTATGTGCTGATTTGATCATCAAGGGTATGTCATTGAAAAAGTTCAAAGCCTGCATCCAGCTCTAGTACCATAATTTGGATTGGTTGAGCAGTGGAACGGAACCACTTTCTGAGCAACTCGGGTTGCCCTGTCTCAGTCAACACAGCCAATGGATCACCCATTTGTTGAATACTGCAGTCGTTCAGGGAAAGGATTTCTCAACGGTTTTGCCCTTTGAGAGATTTTGTGAATCTCTTGAGGGTAACTTCCTTGGTTTTCAAATTCATAAATAGGTTGAGACAGTTGGAAATTGACAGTGAAGGGCTGGTTGCCATTTTTCTTATGAAGACTATGCAGCAACAGTTGTATCCTGAGCAGTTAAAATTCTTGCTTGATCCTGCAGTCAGGACAGTCCTTAACTTGGTGTGGGACCTTGATCTGTTCATTGATGAGGAAGGCCTAATCAGGTCAGGCAGCAGAATCGGTAGGTCCCTTCACTTCAAAATGGAGGTAAAACACTTTATCCTGTTGGTTAACCATCATCTGATAACTGGGCTCATCATAGTGGATTGCTACGACAGGTGTTGGCATTTGGGAATTGGCTCAACCTTGGCTGAGCTGAGACGTTACTGGGTACCTAAGAGAAGACAAACTGTGCATTGTGCAGGAAGTACAATGCTAAACATGTCCTGTCTCCTAATGTGGCCAACTCACCCACTTCACATGTGGAACAGGATATTCCCTTCAAACATATTGGAGTTGGCTTCACTGGACCTTTGGATTAGAGAGCATAGTAGAAAGGGGAAGATGCATTTGCTCATCTTCACTTTTCTCAGTGCCAGAGCAGTACATATTGATGTGGTGCCGGACATGGGTGTGTGGTCCTTTCTTCAGACTTTGGTACATTTCACTAACTTGTATGGCATTCCGGCTGCCTCCACAAGGTGGTTGGCCATGGTGAAGTAGATTATTTCTCCTTTCTGACCATTATATCTGATATCCAAAGAGCTATCAACAACCGCCCCCTCACTTATTTGGAATCTGGGGAAAGAGAGCTGGAAGCGGTGACCCCTAGTATGTTTTTGAGGACTAATGAGAATCTAAATGATAGGGATTTTGCTCCCTCTATGCCAGCTAGCCAGGTGAGAATCCTCAGAACCATGCAGGTGTGGAAATCAGTGCCTGGAGAAATTTAGGGCCTTATCGTATGAAGAATACTTGCTAAACCTTCTGGAAAGGCCTCAAGGTTGTTCTCAGGTGCCATTTCTGAACTGAATGAGGGTTGGAGATGTGGCCCTAGTTAAGAGCCCTCTTGAAGCCAGACTCTTTTGGGTTCTTGAAATTGTCATGGAGGTGATTAGTGGTGGTGGATGGTGTTATCAGGTCAGCTAGTGTCAGGCAGGGGGGTGGTGCTGTGCAAGTCTACTTCTTGAAACACTTGTTTCCTCTTGAGGATCAATTGCCCTTTGTCTACTGATGTACCTGTGGCAGATCCTACCCCTGTCCCTTTTCAAACCTTGTCTTCCAAAATTATCACATGGCCCTCACTGTTCTGAAAAATGAGTACCTTGATGAAAACAAAATAATTGACCATATTTTTCAGGACATACTGGATTTCTCTATTAAACGAGAGAAGTATTACACTACCCTGACTGAGTTCATATCTAAAGCTGCCTCTCTTCTGGTGGAGTTAGAAAGTTCTTTTGACTGTACCTGCTCCGATGATTGATCTTCTTAAGCCCTCTTTGTACATTATTATCTGGGAAGAAGCCACTTAGAGGTTCCTCATACATGCACCCAGATTCCAGCACAAAACACAAGTATGAAGGTTTAATCGGGGCTGTGGATTCCATCATGTAATCGAATGTAAGGGACTCATGGTTTTCATTCTGAGAGTGCCCAGGTGAGAGAAATTGACAAGCCCCATTGAAGCCAAAAATGCTCATCCTTGCAGACAAGTCATCAGCTGAAGGGGTCCCAGGTGCTGAATTCTGCCAGCAAGGGGGGCATTTGATATGCTGGAATTCATCCAACAGAGTCCATTTTTTTTAATATGTACTAATAAATCTATGTTCTTATCCACCAATACTGGGAGGGAAAAAGGATACTTAAAAGCTGATGTCCGTTTCCAGGATTACCTCCTTGAAGCACTGTCACAGTCTCCAAGGAGTGTAGACAAACTGAATTCACAGTCAAGCCCAACAGATTCTAAGCTGCCGAGAGCTACCATCCATCTATGCTTAGAATATTGCTGCCATGTGTGGTTTGGTGTCCCTGGTATTTACCTTGGGCTCCTTGATAAAATCCAAAGAAGAATCACCAATATTATTGGTCCTGATCTGGTGACTCAGCTTCAGTCACTTTCCTATCAATCATAATGTTACCTCTCTGTATCTTTTTTATAAATACTTTCATGGTAATTGTTTGGATGAGCTCTTTGCTATGGTACTATTTGAATTTAAGTGCAGTAATAGACAGATGTCAAGATCTCAAGTTGTAGATGAGCTGGATAGATGTAGCCATAAGTTCTATGCTAACAGTTTTTCTTGCTTGTGGAACTCTCTTCTGGCTCCATGCTTTCCAGTCAACTTTAATCTGCAAAAATTTAAAGCCAATGTCAATTGCTATCTACAGTCTTCCTGATTACTCTTTTTTTCTTCCTGCTCATTATTAATGTTTCTGTTCCGAATTCTTCTACACCCTGTAACCTCCTTGTGTCTTTACTGCCTTGCATAAGGTGATACCAGACCCCCCCCAAAAAAAACCCCAAAACCTCCTGCTATAAAAAATAACAGCATATTTTTTTAAGTTCTTACAACAGAGTTCCAGACTAACTTTTTTCACAATCATCACAGAACTGCCTCAGAAAGATTTTTAACCATCCCAAAATTATTATTTTTTTTTTTTTTTTTTTTTTAACTTTATTATCATTTGGTAGCATTTATTAAAATACCATTAAAATGTTTGGAAAATCAATATTTATTTTAATCCATTCAATCTTTAAATTATTGTCCTACAGCTACTACTCTAACATTTAGTCATTGCTTTCACAAGGTCATCTTGCTGAGCAGGAGGACTGTGATTGAGATCTACAGGAGCTTGTTGATCATCTCAATTTATATTTATGATAATAAAAGAAGAAATAAATAAGTTGATTTGGTAGATGGGAGACTCAGGGTGGGCTTAGTACTACAGGCTTTTTTTTTTCATCCTCATTCTGGGATAATCCTGAAAAACGAC